CACATATTCACGAGGAGAGAAGGCTGCTGCTGCGCCGCAGCCTGCGCTCAAACCCCTGATACCACAATATCCTGCGAGTCTCCCTTGACCACCACCACAGCTACCACTATGCCCTCCTCCATGCCCACCGGCACCACTTCTGCTGCATGTCAGGGCTACTATTGCCATGGAGGGAGCAATGTGAGTGTGGGCGGTTACGGCATGGCGCAGGCGAGCAGGGCATGAAGGTGTGCGGTATGCGTTTGCAAATGTGCGGTATGCCGGGGAGGTGGGCAGGGGGGCGGACGAGGGGACGGGGGACAGCGAGCGGGGAAGGAGGGCGTGCGACGAGTGCGCGGACGGGGAGGGCGCGGACGAGCAGGGCGCGCGGACGGGCAGGGCGCGGACGAGCAGAGCGCGCGGACGGGCAGGGCGCGGACGAGCAGGGCGTGCGGACGGGCAGGGCGCGGACGAGCAGGGCGTGCGGACGGGCAGGGCGCGGACGAGCAGGGTGTGCGGACGGGCTGGGCGCGGACGCGAAGGGCGGACGAGCAGGGCGCGCGGACGGGCACGGCGCGGACGAGCAGGGCGCGCGGACGGGCAGGGCGCGGACGAGCAGGGCGTGCGGACGGGCAGGGCGCGGACGAGCAGGGCGTGCGGACGGGCAGGGCGCGGACGAGCAGGGCGTGCGGACGGGCAGGGCGCGGACGAGCAGGGCGTGCGGACGGGCAGGGCGCGGACGAGCAGAGATGGGCGCGAAATGGTCAGATTTCAGCGCGGGAGATGCAGATCTGGTCGCGCGGAGGGCAGATCTGGGCGCGCGGAGGGCAGATCTGGGTGCGCGGAGTGCAGATCTGGACGTGCGGAGGGCAGATCTGGGTGGGCGGAGTGCAGATCTGTGTGCGAAATGTTCAGATCTGGGCGCGGGAGGAGGAGATCTGGTGGCGCGGAATCCAGATCTGGGCGCGGAATGATCAGATCTAGGCGCGGGAGGAGTAGATCTGGTCGCAGGGAGTGCAGATCTGGGCGCTGGAGTTGCAGATCTGAGCGCGGGGAATGCAGATCTGGGCGCTGGAGTTGCAGATCTGAGCGCGGGGAATGCAGATCTGGGCGCTGGAGTTGCAGATCTGGACGTGCCTTGGAGGGCAGCGCCTTAGGGGGCGCACGGGGAGGGAGGACAGCGCCTTAAGGGTGCGTGAAGGGAGGGCAGCTCCGTGGGTGGGGCTAGATCTGAGGAACGGGGAGGAATAGATGTGAGCTCGGGAGGAGTAGATCTAAGCTCGGGAGGAGTAGATGTGAGCTCGGGAGGAGTAGATCTGAGCTCGGGAGGAGTAGATCTGAGCTCGGGAGGAGTAGATGTGAGCTCGGGAGGAGTAGATCTGAGCTCGGGAGGAGTAGATCTGAGCTCGGGAGGAGTAGATGTGAGCTCGGGAGGAGTAGATCTGAGCTCGGGGGGGATAGATCTGAGCTCGGGAGGAGTAGATGTGAGCTTGGGAGGAGTAGATCTGAGCTTGGGACGAGTAGATGTGAGCTCGGGAGGAGTAGATCGGAGCTCGAGAGGAGTAGATCTGAGCTTGGGAGCACCGTAGTAGGACTAGGTCTGAGGGACGGGGAGGAGAGGGTGGCCTTAGGATCGAGGGATTAAGGCGTGAGCCAATAGCTCATGATACCATGTTGAAAAGCTAGAAGAGATACATTGAATAATGAGCCAAGAGGCCCTTTAGTACAAACAATGAGCAAGAGAGAGATGAAAGGGAAGCTTACCCTATTGGCCAATAAGTTGGCCAATGGGTGAGCTTGCTTGTGACCCAAGCAACCACAAATGTGTGTTGGTTGGGATTGGTTGAGCTAGGGACCAATCCCAACCAACCACAAAATGTGGTTGGAGGGTACACTAAACAACCCCCCAATTTATAAGTGTACTACAGATCTAATTCTAGCCTATGTATGTTGTACAAATTATGAAATTACAACAATAAGCAGTAAGAAATTGGAAGGTACTTTGCAGTAAAAAAAAAAAAGGATCTAGGGTTTAGGGTGCGCAGCAATACCACGAATTAAGATAAAGGTGGTTCAAGATATTCGGGTCTTGCTGCGCCTGCTGCCTGCAGAGGGGCGCAGAAAAGGGTGTAGCAAAGCGCCTGCTGCCTTGCCCGAGCAGAGCGCATGCTGCCTTGCCCGAGCAGAGCGCCTGCTGCCTTGCCCGAGCAGAGCGCCTGCTGCCTTGCCCGAGCAGAGCGCCTGCTGCCTTGCCCGAGCAGAGCGCCTGCTGCCTTGGCGGAGCAAAGCGCCTGCTGCCTTGCCCGAGCAATTCTAAGGAACTTAAACAAGTAACCCACGACCACGCCCCACTCACTAAACCACGTACCAGCAGCGCCTGCTGCCTTGCCCGAGCAATTCTAAGGAACTTAAACAAGTAACCCACGACCACGCCCCACTCACTAAACCACGTACCAGCAGCGCCTGCTGCCTTGCCCGAGCAATTCTAAGGAACTTAAACAAGTAACCCACGACCACGCCCCACTCACTAAACCACGTACCAGCAGCGCCTGCTGCCTTGCCCGAGCAATTCTAAGGAACTTAAACAAGTAACCCACGACCACGCCCCACTCACTAAACCACGTACCAGCAGCGCCTGCTGCCTTGCCCGAGCAATTCTAAGGAACTTAAACAAGTAACCCACGACCACGCCCCACTCACTAAACCACGTACCAGCAGCGCCTGCTGCCTTGCCCGAGCAATTCTAAGGAACTTAAACAAGTAACCCACGACCACGCCCCACTCACTAAACCATGTACCAGCAGCGCCTGCTGCCTTGCCCGAGCAATTCTAAGGAACTTAAACAAGTAACCCACGACCACGCCCCACTCACTAAACCACGTACCAGCAGCGCCTGCTGCCTTGCCCGAGCAGTTCTAAGGAACTTAAACAAGTAACCCACGACCACGCCCCACTCACTAAACCATGTACCAGCAGCGCCTGCTGCCTTGCCCGAGCAATTCTAAGGAACTTAAACAAGTAACCCACGACCATGCCCCACTCACTAAACCACGTACCAGCAGCGCCTGCTGCCTTGCCCGAGCAATTCTAAGGAACTTAAACAAGTAACCCACGACCACGCCCCACTCACTAAACCACGTACCAGCAGCGCCTGCTGCCTTGCCCGAGCAATTCTAAGGAACTTAAACAAGTAACCCACGACCACGCCCCACTCACTAAACCACGTACCAGCAGCGCCTGCTGCCTTGCCCGAGCAATTCTAAGGAACTTAAACAAGTAACCCACGACCACGCCCCACTCACTAAACCACGTACCAGCAGCGCCTGCTGCCTTGCCCGAGCAATTCTAAGGAACTTAAACAAGTAACCCACGACCACGCCCCACTCACTAAACCACGTACCAGCAGCGCCTGCTGCCTTGCCCGAGCAATTCTAAGGAACTTAAACAAGTAACCCACGACCACGCCCCACTCACTAAACCACGTACCAGCAGCGCCTGCTGCCTTGCCCGAGCAATTCTAAGGAACTTAAACAAGTAACCCACGACCACGCCCCACTCACTAAACCATGTACCAGCAGCGCCTGCTGCCTTGCCCGAGCAATTCTAAGGAACTTAAACAAGTAACCCACGACCATGCCCCACTCACTAAACCACGTACCAGCAGCGCCTGCTGCCTTGCCCGAGCAATTCTAAGGAACTTAAACAAGTAACCCACGACCACGCCCCACTCACTAAACCACGTACCAGCAGCGCCTGCTGCCTTGCCCGAGCAATTCTAAGGAACTTAAACAAGTAACCCACGACCACGCCCCACTCACTAAACCACGTACCAGCAGCGCCTGCTGCCTTGCCCGAGCAATTCTAAGGAACTTAAACAAGTAACCCACGACCACGCCCCACTCACTAAACCACGTACCAGCAGCGCCTGCTGCCTTGCCCGAGCAATTCTAAGGAACTTAAACAAGTAACCCACGACCACGCCCCACTCACTAAACCACGTACCAGCAGCGCCTGCTGCCTTGCCCGAGCAATTCTAAGGAACTTAAACAAGTAACCCACGACCACGCCCCACTCACTAAACCACGTACCAGCAGCGCCTGCTGCCTTGCCCGAGCAATTCTAAGGAACTTAAACAAGTAACCCACGACCACGCCCCACTCACTAAACCACGTACCAGCAGCGCCTGCTGCCTTGCCCGAGCAATTCTAAGGAACTTAAACAAGTAACCCACGACCACGCCCCACTCACTAAACCACGTACCAGCAGCGCCTGCTGCCTTGCCCGAGCAATTCTAAGGAACTTAAACAAGTAACCCACGACCACGCCCCACTCACTAAACCACGTACCAGCAGCGCCTGCTGCCTTGCCCGAGCAATTCTAAGGAACTTAAACAAGTAACCCACGACCACGCCCCACTCACTAAACCACGTACCAGCAGCGCCTGCTGCCTTGCCCGAGCAATTCTAAGGAACTTAAACAAGTAACCCACGACCACGCCCCACTCACTAAACCATGTACCAGCAGCGCCTGCTGCCTTGCCCGAGCAATTCTAAGGAACTTAAACAAGTAACCCACGACCATGCCCCACTCACTAAACCACGTACCAGCAGCGCCTGCTGCCTTGCCCGAGCAATTCTAAGGAACTTAAACAAGTAACCCACGACCACGCCCCACTCACTAAACCACGTACCAGCAGCGCCTGCTGCCTTGCCCGAGCAATTCTAAGGAACTTAAACAAGTAACCCACGACCACGCCCCACTCACTAAACCACGTACCAGCAGCGCCTGCTGCCTTGCCCGAGCAATTCTAAGGAACTTAAACAAGTAACCCACGACCACGCCCCACTCACTAAACCACGTACCAGCAGCGCCTGCTGCCTTGCCCGAGCAATTCTAAGGAACTTAAACAAGTAACCCACGACCACGCCCCACTCACTAAACCACGTACCAGCAGCGCCTGCTGCCTTGCCCGAGCAATTCTAAGGAACTTAAACAAGTAACCCACGACCACGCCCCACTCACTAAACCACGTACCAGCAGCGCCTGCTGCCTTGCCCGAGCAATTCTAAGGAACTTAAACAAGTAACCCACGACCACGCCCCACTCACTAAACCACGTACCAGCAGCGCCTGCTGCCTTGCCCGAGCAAATGCCTTCCTTGCATCAGCTTCACTCACTGCCCCTCCCTCTCCCTTCTCCTCACCACCCCCACCACCACCACCACCACCACCACCACCATCACCACCACCACCACCACCACCACCACCACCACCATCACCACCACCACCACCACCACCACTTCCCCTCCCACTCTTTCCAGCTTCTGTCTCACTGCCCCCTACTCCCACACCGCCCCCACCCCCCACACCTGCTCCCCCTGCTGCTCCTGCCCTTGCTGCCGCTGCCCCCCCCTCTTCCCCAGCCCCTCCCCCGCCCCCTCCAACCACAGCCTTCCCCTTTCCTTTATCAAACTCCTCCGGGCACAGCACCTCCAGAGCCCTCCTGCACTCGTCGCTTAGCTGAGAGAAACGCTTAAGCAGCCGTAACACTAGAACATGCAGCTCCGCCCGCCCCTCCCCCCCTTCCCCTCTTCCTGCGCCACCCGACCTCCCCCCAGCTGCTGCGCTTCCGCCCTCCTCATCTTCCGTTCCCCTACTAACGTCTCCTCCAAACCCTAAACCCATCCCGGCACTGCCATCAGCAGCAACAGCAGCAGTGCTGTGCTTCGTCCCTGCCTGGCGCTGCCAGCACCGCAGGAGGAGCACGAGGAGAGCGAGCAGGGAGACCGGGGCAGCATGGGAAGCGCGGAACCAGTGGGAGGAGAACGCGGCTCCTGGCAGCAGGGCGAACAGCCCAGCGGCCGTGCTGCTGCTGCTGCTGCCACTACCGCTTCCGCCGCTGCTGCTGCTGTCAGGAAGCCGTGCTTCGAACGGCTGGCATGCTCGGGACAGAAGCGCCGGTGGCCAGGTTTGTCTCTTCTGAACAGCTGCAGGAGCGGCTGCCCTGCCTGCCCCTCCTGTCCTGTCTCGGCCTCCAACCCAATCCGTCCCATCAACTTCCATGCCTGAACCTGAAACCTCCGCTCCTTCGCTTCCTTCTCTTGCTTCACTCCAAGCACCACTCGTATTCCCTCCCACACGCCCATCGACCTCCATCATTATCATCCCCTCGACCTCTCCACCTTCCCTACTCTTTCTCCCCACCTTCTCTCCCTTCCCTTCCTCCGCTCCTCCCTGCCCGTCCCACCCCTTCTTCTCTCTCTCCCTTTCCTTCTCCTCAGCTTCCTGCCAAGCCATGCAAGCGTCAAGAGCCAATGCCAGCAAATGCAACGCAGCATGCAGCACAATGTCAGGCGCTCGTGACGACCCACTTCCCCCACTCCCACTCCCACCACCACCACCACCAACACCACCACTGCCACTGCCGGCACCGTTGCTGGCTCTTGCCTCTCTGTAGCTCATCTCCTTCCCCTCCTCGTCCCACCACGCATGCAGCACCACCGACAGCACAACATCATGCACGCCTGCTGACGTGGCGATCTCCCGCAGCCCCATCAACGGACGGACAGGATCGCGCCACCTAGGCGTCTGCTCCACAACCGCCGATCTCTTAACCGCCTCTGAATATCTCTCTTCCGCTCTCTGCAACTCCCTAGGCGCCCATCTTAAGCAGTACAAATCCAGCTCCCTGTAACAGTCTCTTTTAAGTAAGTACCGCCCCTGCTCCATACCCGAGGGCCGGGAATAATCAGCAACAGCGGCGAGAACAGAGGGAATGGCAGGGTTTTCGGCAAACCGGGGGGGAAGGGACTTGACGACGCTGCTGCGGGTGGCATTGCCGATGGCTAGGCGCTGCACTATTTCCCTCCGAAGGGCCGCGGTGGGGGGGAGGCCGGAAAAGGATCGCTCTGAGATGAGACGGATAAGGAAGGCCAGGCAGTCCTGGGCCACTGCAGGCTCGTACCTGCATGGTGGGATTGGGGGTTGAAGGGGATAGCAGGACGGGGGGTGGAGGGGAACACCGGAGGAGAGAATGGAAGAGCGGTGGGGGGGAGGCCGGGAAGGATCGCTCTGAGATGAGACGGATGAGGAAGGCTATGCAGTCCTGAGCTATCGCAGGCTACTTTTGAGGCGCCTCAAAAGAGGGCTATGCAGTCCTCCTGAGCTATCGCAGGCTCGTACCTGATGATGAGGGGGGGTTGTGATGGGTTGGGGGAAGAGTGAGAAGGAGAGAGTGGAGAGGGGGGGAGTGGAGGAAGCGGGTGGGGCGGAGGCTGGGAAGGATCAGTAGAAGATGGGGCAGATGGGGAAGCAGATGATGCTACCACTCTCGTGTAATAGAATGGCAGTGCGTTGCAGAAACCCTAGTGCCTATACTCTGGTGAGGCAGCGTCGACGGTGAGGGAAATGCAGTTTGGATTGTTGTAATTTCATAATTTGTACAACATACATAGGCTAGAATTAGATCTGTAGTACACTTATAAATTGGGGGGTTGTTTAGTGTACCCTCCAACCACATTTTGTGGTTGGTTGGGATTGGTCCCTAGCTCAACCAATCCCAACCAACACACATTTGTGGTTGCTTGGGTCACAAGCAAGCTCACCCATTGGCCAACTTATTGGCCAATAGGGTAAGCTTCCCTTTCATCTCTCTCTTGCTCATTGTTTGTACTAAAGGGCCTCTTGGCTCATTATTCAATGTATCTCTTCTAGCTTTTCAACATGGTATCATGAGCTATTGGCTCACGCCTTAATCCCTCGATCCTAAGGCCACCCTCTCCTCCCCGTCCCTCAGACCTAGTCCTACTACGGTGCTCCCAAGCTCAGATCTACTCCTCTCGAGCTCCGATCTACTCCTCCCGAGCTCACATCTACTCGTCCCAAGCTCAGATCTACTCCTCCCAAGCTCACATCTACTCCTCCCGAGCTCAGATCTATCCCCCCCGAGCTCAGATCTACTCCTCCCGAGCTCACATCTACTCCTCCCGAGCTCAGATCTACTCCTCCCGAGCTCAGATCTACTCCTCCCGAGCTCACATCTACTCCTCCCGAGCTTAGATCTACTCCTCCCGAGCTCACATCTATTCCTCCCCGTTCCTCAGATCTAGCCCCACCCACGGAGCTGCCCTCCCTTCACGCACCCTTAAGGCGCTGTCCTCCCTCCCCGTGCGCCCCCTAAGGCGCTGCCCTCCAAGGCACGTCCAGATCTGCAACTCCAGCGCCCAGATCTGCATTCCCCGCGCTCAGATCTGCAACTCCAGCGCCCAGATCTGCATTCCCCGCGCTCAGATCTGCAACTCCAGCGCCCAGATCTGCACTCCCTGCGACCAGATCTACTCCTCCCGCGCCTAGATCTGATCATTCCGCGCCCAGATCTGGATTCCGCGCCACCAGATCTCCTCCTCCCGCGCCCAGATCTGAACATTTCGCACCCAGATCTGCACTCCGCGCGCCCAGATCTGCCCTCCGCGCGCCCAGATCTGCCCTCCGCGCGACCAGATCTGCATCTCCCGCGCTGAAATCTGACCATTTCGCGCCCATCTCTGCTCGTCCGCGCCCTGCCCGTCCGCACGCCCTGCTCGTCCGCGCCCTGCCCGTCCGCACGCCCTGCTCGTCCGCGCCCTGCCCGTCCGCGCGCCCTGCTCGTCCGCCCTTCGCGTCCGCGCCCTGCCCGTCCGCACGCCCTGCTCGTCCGCGCCCTGCCCGTCCGCACGCCCTGCTCGTCCGCGCCCTGCCCGTCCGCACGCCCTGCTCGTCCGCGCCCTGCCCGTCCGCGCGCTCTGCTCGTCCGCGCCCTGCCCGTCCGCGCGCCATGCTCGTCCGCGCCCTCCCCGTCCGCGCACTCGTCGCACGCCCTCCTTCCCCGCTCGCTGTCCCCCGTCCCCTTGTCCGCCCCCTGCCCACCTCCCCGGCATACCGCACATTTGCAAACGCATACCGCACACCTTCATGCCCTGCTCGCCTGCGCCATGCCGTAACCGCCCACACTCACATTGCTCCCTCCATGGCAATAGTCGCCCTGGCATGCAGCAGAAGTGGTGCCGGTGGGCATGGAGGAGGGCATAGTGGTAGCTGTGGTGGTGGTCAAGGGAGACTCGCAGGATATTGTGGTATCAGGGGTTTGAGCGCAGGCTGCGGCGCAGCAGCAGCCTTCTCTCCTCGTGAATATGTGCCTCGCTATGGCCCGACTCGGGGACTTCAGTGCAAAATCTCCACCCAAGCCCACCATGCCCCGAGTCCACCCTTCTCTCCTCCTCCTCCTCAGCAGCAGCAGCAGCAGCAGCAGCAGCAGCAGCAGCAGCGGCAGCGGCAGCGGCAGCGGCAGCGGCAGCGGCAGCGGCAGCGGCAGCGGCAGCGGCAGCGGCAGCGGCAGCAGCAGCAGCAGCAGCAGCAGCAGCAGCAGCAGCAGCAGCAGCAGCAGCAGCAGCAGCAGCAGCAGCAGCACCAGCAGCAGCAGCAGCAGCAGCACCAGCAGCAGCAGCAGCAGCAGCAGCAGCAGCAGCAGCACCAGCACCAGCAGCTCTGGCACCTCCTCCTCCAGCTCCAGCAGTTGCTTCACCGCCTGCAGCAGCACCTTAGCGCACAAGCGCAGCTGCCTCTTCCTCCTCCTCCCCCAACTTCCCAGCAGAACTCAGTTCCGCATTGTTCCACAAGCTCCGCCACTTCAAGCAATGTCCCACCTCTCTCATCCGTTGGTATTGCTGGTATGGTCAATCAAGCCACATCAGCTGCCCCTGCCACATACTCCTCTAGCACTAAAGAAACTGCGTTCCAGTCCTCTGTCCCTTCCTCCTCCCTCCCCTCCACTGTCGACTTTGTCCTTGACAGCGGCGCCACTGACACAGTTCTTCGCGATGCTGGCACCTTGCGCCCCCTCCCAACGCCTACCTCCCTCCTTGGCGCCGATAGCAGCTTCTCTATCCCCTGCCATAACACCTCGACTCTCCCCTGCCCACTCTTCCCCTCAGGCACTGTCACCGGTCTCCACATACCCTCTCTTCGCGCTAATCTCCTCTCGCAAAGGTCCCTTCAACAAGCCGGTATCACCACAGTATTCCCAGCTTATGCTAACTATTGCGCTCTCTACCATTCCGCCACCGGTCAGTTCATTTCTCGCATTCCATTTTGCCCTCGCTCCCGTCTGTACACCCTTCGTGTTCCTCGCCTCCCCTCCTGTCAGGTCATCTCTCGTCCTCCCCTCCACCCTCTCATCCCACCCCCTCCTCTCCCTCCCACTAACCCGGACCTCCCTTCACGCCCCCCCCCTGACTCCTCTTGCTCCTGTCGCTCCCTCTCCCACCCTGCCGTCCTCCTCCATCACAGGCTAGGTCACCCTAACTTCGCTACTCTACGCTCCTCTGTTTCCTCCGGTCTCCTCCATGGTCTCCCCTCCTCCCTCCCTCCTCTCCCCAAATCCCCTGCCCCCCCCTGCACCGTCTGCGTTCAGAGCAAGCTCAAGCAGCAGCCGCACCGGAGCTCCCCCTCCGCTGCTGCTCAGCCACTTGATCTTGTTCACATGGACCTCTGGGGCCCCAATCCCTCTCCCACTCGCCAGGGCCATCGATACCTCCTCGTACTCGTCGATGATCACAGTCGGTACTCGTCCGTCTCTCTCCTTCGGACGAAGGCAGATGCCCCGGCTGCGATCATCGCCTGGCTCGAGCGAGCAAACACCCATTTTGGGCGCCCTGTTCGCCGCCTTCACTCTGATGGTGGTGGTGAGTTCCTTAACAACCAAATATCCTCCTATTGCCAGTCTCATGGCATTCTTCAGACTTACACCCTCCCTCACTCCCCACAGCAGAACGGTGTGGCTGAAAGTCGTGTTCGAGAGATCACCAAAACTGCCCGGTGTCTCCTTGTCCACGCCTCCTGCCCTCCTTCTCTGTGGGGCTACGCCCTCCTTCATGCCGCCCTGCTTACTAACCTTTACCCTCACCCTCTTCTCCCATCCACCACCCCCACTGAGCTGTGGACGAACAACAAGCCTGATGTCTCATCTCTTCGTGTCTGGGGCTCAAAGGCTTATGTCCTTCTTCACCCCGCTGACCGCTCCCGTTCTATGGGAAAGCTTGCCCCTCGTACCCTTCCCTGCATCTTTCTTGGTCATAACTCCTCCTCACCTGACTACCTTTTCCTCCATCCCCCCTCAGGTCGTCTATTCCGCAGTAGGGATGTGGTCTTTGATGAGTCCACTCCTTACTACTCCTCTCCCCCATCCACTGACCCACTCCCCCGTCTTCCCCGTCCCCTTGTCTGGTCTGACACCACCCCTCCCCCTCTACTTCCTCCTCCCCCCATCCTCCCTCCCCCTCCCCCACCGTCGTCCTCGTCCCACGGTGCCCCTCCCTTGTCTGGTGATATATTTGACCCGGAACCTCTGTCCTCTCCCGTCTCCCCCACACATTCCTCTCCTAGTGCCCCTCCCGCCCCTCCTTCACCTCCCTCGCTGCCGACTCGTCCTTCCCCCCCTCCCCGCACTGTACTAACCCGGTACCCCCATACCAGGTCACAAGACAGTATCCTTGGTGCACCGCCCCCTGTTACCCTCTCTACCTCTACCCTCCCCCCACTCTCCCCTCTCCTTCACCACTTCTTCCAGGCTGTTCTGCATCAACCTCCCCCTGCAGCAGCCCCCGCCGCCACCTCTCCAGCAGCGGCGCCAGCAGCAGCACCAGCAGCACGACCAGCAGCGGCACCAGCAGCAGGACCAGCAGCGGCACCAGCAGCAGGACCAGCAGCGGTACCAGCAGCAGGACCAGCGGCGGCACCAGCAGCGGCACCAGCAGCGGCACCAGCAGCGGCACCAGCAGCAGGACCAGCAGCGGCACCAGCAGCAGGACCAGCGGCGGCACCAGCAGCGGCACCAGCAGCGGCACCAGCAGCGGCACGTGCAGCAGCACCAGCGGCACCAACGGTCATCCGCTCCTTCCACACCTCCCTCTCTGAGGACTCCCATGAGGAGTTCCTTGACCTCCACCTCTGTGACCCTTCCCTTCTACCCATCACCTTCGACCTTTCTGGGACACCTGTCTTCGCATTCTCCTCTGCTCCCTCCGTTTTCATCCCTACCACGTATGAGGAGGCCATGGCTTGCCCCGACGCCCCACTCTGGCTCGCCGCCATTATCAAGGAGCTGGAGGCCTTTGTCGCCAACTCCTCCTTTGTTGATGTGCCTCGCCCTCCCTCCTCTACGAACGTGGTGAAGGGGAAGTGGGTGTTTCGCGTCAAACAACTGCCAGGGGAGCCGCCCGTCTACAAGGCTCGTTACTGCGCCAAGGGGTTCACGCAGCGGTATGGTTTTGACTTCTTCGATACCTTCTCCCCCACTGCCAAGCCCGCTACTGTTCGCGCCGTGCTCGACCTCGCCGCTCGCCTCAATATGGAGATCCACTCGATGGACGTCTCTAACGCCTTCCTCCAAGGCGTCCTCCGCGAGCTTATCTACATGGAGCGTCCTGCCGGTTTTCACCTTCCCTTCCCTGCGGACTCTGTCTGGCAGCTGCGTCGCCCTGTGTATGGGCTCCGACAGGCCCCGAGGGAGTGGCATGCTAAGCTTGCCGCCACCCTTGCTGAACTTGGATTCCGCACCTCCCGTTCTGACGCCAGCCTCTTCCTCCGCGCCTCCCCCTCCCCCTTCTACATCCTTGTCTATGTCGATGACATGATTCTACTCACTGCCGACCTCAGCGAGTTGGAGCGTGTTAAGGCTGAGTTGGGCAGCCGTCTCAAGTGCAAGGACTTGGGCGAATTGCAGCATTACCTGGGCATGACAATCACCCGCGATCGCTCCGCCCGCACCATCTCTCTCTCCCAGGGTCATTACTTGCAGCAGGTCTTGGAGCGGTTTGACATGGTCCGCGGCGGCGCCCAACCTACTCCTCTTTCTGTCGGGCACCACCTCTCTCCACCCACCTCCCCCTCAGCCTCCTCCCATCCTTATCCCGAGCTCATCGGCTCCCTCATGTACGCCATGGTCTCCACTCGCCCTGACCTTGCCTACCCCATCAGCGTCCTCGCTCGTTTTGTTGGCGCAGGCAAGCATACGGAAGAGCACTGGCAGGCCGCCAAGCGTGTCCTCCGGTACCTTCGTGGCACCAAGGACTATGTCCTTACCCTCGGCGGCCCCTCCCCACCTACCCTCAGCGGCTACAGTGACTCCTCCTGGGCTGATTCCCAGCCAGATCGTCGCTCCTCCCAGGGCTATGGCTTCTCTCTTGGCAGCGGCCTTATCAGCTGGCGCTCCACCCGCTCCTCGGCTGTCGCCCTCTCCTCCTGCGAGGCGGAGTTGTATGCCGCCACCATGGCTGCGCAAGAGGCCCGCTGGCTCACCTTCCTCCTTGAGGAACTTGGTGCCCCCCAGCGCTGTCCCACCATTTGGTGTGACAATGCCAGTACCATTCACCTCACCAAAGATGCCGTGTTTCACGGGCGTTCCAAGCACATTGAGCTCCGTCATTTCTTCATTCGCGATCTTGTTCAGGCGGGGCACCTTCGGCTCGACAAGGTTGACTCGGCGGCCAACCTTGCCGACATCTTCACAAAAGCTCTTCCTCATGTCGCTCACTCTTTCCTACTTCGTCTTCTTGGCCTCACTCCTCCTAAGTCGCCTCCCGCCTCTTGATTCTAGCCTTCTAGCCTTATGCATGTTGGGGGGTTGTGTTGTAATTTCATAATTTGTACAACATACATAGGCTAGAATTAGATCTGTAGTACACTTATAAATTGGGGGGTTGTTTAGTGTACCCTCCAACCACATTTTGTGGTTGGTTGGGATTGGTCCCTAGCTCAACCAATCCCAACCAACACACATTTGTGGTTGCTTGGGTCACAAGCAAGCTCACCCATTGGCCAACTTATTGGCCAATAGGGTAAGCTTCCCTTTCATCTCTCTCTTGCTCATTGTTTGTACTAAAGGGCCTCTTGGCTCATTATTCAATGTATCTCTTCTAGCCTTTCAACATGGATTGGAAGGCTGTAGCGGATGGGATGGGAGGGATCCTACTGCTGACTCACTCTGAGGCAGCCCCCACTGTGAGTGAGAAGTAGCTGGTGAGGCTGTAGCGCGCCACAACCTGGCGCACAAAGGCATCAGGAGGGGCAGAGACGGCAGCGCACTGCAGCAGAAAGAGATCCAACTCGAGACTGTCCTCGCACCTGGTATGGCATGGCACGGGATGGCATGGGAAGAGGGGTCAAGTGGGGGTCTTATGACGACCGCATAGAACGCGTGGGCAGAGGCGGCAGTGCACTGCAGCAGAAAGAGATCCAACTCGAGACTGTCCTCGCACCTGTGACATAAGCATGATAGCACAACGTGGCATGGCAGGGGGCATGTGAGGGGAAAGAGGGGATAGTAGTGGGGTGAGGAGCCGAGACAGCAGTGCATTGCATCGCAGCAGAAAGAGGTCCAACTCCTTGACTGTCCTTGCACCTGTGGGTGGATTCACATGATGATGCCATGCCATGCAATGCCATGCCATGCCATGCCACGCCATGCCATGCCACGCCACGCCATGCCATGCCATGCCATGCCATGCGATGCAATGTGACGTGAGTGGAGAGGGGGGTCATCATGACAAGACGGACATGGGTTTTACGTTACGACCAGAAACAAAATCTACAGGAACCAGATAGAGAATAGCCACGTGTAGAGAGGGTGTTTTTGAGACATCTCAAAAACACCCTCTCTAGATGTGACGTGCGTGGAGGGCGGGGTCATCATGACAAGACAGACATGGGTTTTACGGCCAGAAACAACCAGAAACGACCGAGCAATGACTATACTGACCAGTGCACGGAGTGGTAGAGGTCGCAGAGAGCGACCATGGATTGCCCGTTCCTCCTCCACATGCCAGCTGATATCTGCGCGCACAGCACTTGCACTCGCAGCCCATGCTCAGCCACAGCTGCGAGGAAGCTTCCTCTCTGCAGCTTGCTGGGCAGCAGGCGCAGCAGACACAGCTCTGATGCCTCTCCCCCTCCACCCCCCTCCCGCTCTCCCTCCCACCGCCTCTCTTCCCTCGTATCCTGTGCGGCCCCCACCATCCCTCCGGTCCCTTCCCTCTGTTCTGAGTCTTCCTGTGGGTGTCCTTGCGGGTCAGGCATGGGGCAGGAGAGGCGCAGCAGGGAGTGCAGGAGGAGCGCGAGCATGCGGTGCAGAGGCAGGTGGAACGACACCTCCTGCCGCCCCACATCGTACTCCACCACTGGCCACTCCAGCACGCTCTCAGCCCCACCCACAGCCCCCTTAGACACAGAACTCGCCTCTGCCCTCTCCATATCCATGATCATACCACGTTCACCCGCCCCTGCTACTGCCCCCGCCCCTGCTGTTGCCCACGCCCCTCCCATCCCTGCCCCTGGCCCCTCTCTTGCTCCTCCGACAGCCGTTTCGTCTGTCCAAGCCCCCTCCTGTGGCATGTCCCCTGCCATATCCCCTGGTTCCACCCGGGGGGGAGGGAACGGCAGCAAACCTTCCAGAAGCGACATCTGCTGCCGCCCCACCCACCAGCAGGGGCTATTCAGGGCAGCGAGCGCACCAGCGGCAGCAGCGGAGAGCGGGGGGGCGGCGGAGGGGGGGAGAGCAGCAGAGAGAGAAGCAGCCTCGGTTGCTGCCAACGAATCTGTCTGCATGGCTGTTGCCGCTGCTTCCCCTCCCCCTGCCGCTCCTGCCTCTGCACCTTCCCCTGCGTCTGCCCATCCTGCCTCAACGCCTACTGCTTCACCTGCACCTGCATGCCTGCCCTGGGTCCCCTGTGCCCCTTCCCCCCCTGTCGCCCTGAACCTAGACGCCCTTCTGAGCCACGTGCTTAGAATCCCCATGTGCCCCCTCTGCATATGGCCCACGTCCTCTCCCTCCTGCCTTGCATGCTCCTCCCCTCCCCTTCCTATACCCGCACCAGCAGCACCAGGGCCAGCAGCAGCAGCAGCATTCCCCTGCCCATCTCTCAAACCTACTCTACCCAGGCCTGCACCCGCCCCTACCCCAGCACCTACCCCCGCCTCTGCTCCTCCCCCACCTTCCCCTCCCTCTCTTCCTAACGCTTCAAGCCCAAGCACGGGCACTGCCTCTGCTCCTGCTGGGGGAACTCTCTCTAGACCCGCCCCCCCTGGACTACCCCCTCTAGAGCCTGGGCTGCCTGTGCCTGCTGCTCTGCCTCCCACAGCAGCAGCAGCCGCCCCTGCTGCTGCTCCTGCTGCGGCTGCCATGCCAGATAAGAACCTCCCTGCCCTCCCCACCCCACTGCTGCCGCCGCTTCCTGCTGCCCCTCCCCCTCCTGCTCCTGCTCCTCCTCCTCCTCCTGCTGCTGCTGCTCCTGCTTCCCCAGCATCACCCGCCGTGCTGCTTCGACCACCCATTGCCCCTCCTCCTCCACCCTCCTTCTCTGCTGCGGCGGCTGCAGCAGCAGCAGCTGCCTCGGAAGCCAACCCCTTGAGTTCATCCTGGGCCCACTTGAACGACAGGAGAGACGCTCCTGGAGCGTGCACCAGAACCGACGACAGTAACTGCACCTCCTGCTGCTGCTGCTGCTGCTGCTGCTGCAGCGACTGACCCTCCTCCTGCTGCTGCTGCTGCAGCGACTGACCCTCCTCCTGCTGCTGCTGCTGCTGCAGCGACTGACCCTCCTGCTGCTGGTGTTTTAAGGCAGCAGCAGTCAGTGAACGCGCTGATACCCCCCTAGGCCTACCCCCACCAGCAGCCCCTCCCCCAGATCCACCTTCCCCAGGCGAAACTCCACCAGAGAGTCTACCTGTGGCGGCAGCGGGAGGCAGAGGTGTTAGCAGAGGCGAGGGCGGGGAAGCGGAGGGAGTGGGTCGGGGCGGGTGGGAAGGGGAGGTGATTCGAGCCATGGCTGCTGCTGCTGCACCTGGTAACAGGCCCAGCTGCCCCAGCTGCCTCATGCCTCTCATCGCCGTCGCACCCGCACCACCACCAGCAGCACCCGCAGCACCACCTGCACCAGCACCGCCACCAGCAGCAGCAGCAGCAACAGCAGCACCAGCAGCAGCACCAACATTCCCAGCAGCGCCAGAAGGAAACGAAGAGAACGGCGACCTGGTAAGCCCAAGCAGCCTGAGTGCCTCCACGCTGCTGGCCCCACTGCCAAACGCTGAACCTAGCGATCTCAGCCCCTCCACTGCCACCCACCGCGCCAGCACCCATGCACACTCGTGCAGCAGCCTCACTAACGCCGGAGGAACTCCGAACCTCGCCGCCACCTGCCGAATCTCGCGGGCTCGGGGGGGCAGGTATGTGTGTGTGCCTGTCTCTGTCGCTCCCCAGTCATCCACATACGCCTCTGGATCAAAACCCTCTGCCTTCCAGCTGGTAGTAGCATCAAGGTCAGCAGCCACACCTCCCCAACCCTCATCCCCAGGGATGGTCTCTCCTGCTGCTGTGACACTGCCATGCCCCATTCCTGCCTGCCCTGACTGGTTCCCTTGCTGCTGCCCTTGCTGCTGCCCTGCCTGCTGCCCTGCCTGCTGCCCTGTGTGCTGCCCTGCGTGCTGCCCTGCACCTTCATCCACAAACCATCGCAAAGTCTTCCTCCTCCCAAACCCCAAACCCGGAAACCCACCCCCTTCAACTAACTTCTCCCCTACCTTCTCTCCTCCCCCCTTCTCCCCTCCTGACCCTCCCTCCACCTGCCGACCCTCCTTCCAAGCCTCCAGCCCAGGCACGGCGCTAGCTTCGGCGAGCAGCGGGTTGACAGTCGCCAGCTGTGCTTCTAACAAGTAAGCGAAGCTCCAATCATCAGGCTCTATTGCCACGTGGGTGGTGGTGCGCCGCACATGTGGACACATGCCCTGGGCGGCCGCCAGCTGGCGCAGCCACGCGCGCAGCAGGTCTGGGCGGCGGGCCGTGACGTGGCGGGAGGAGGCGGAGTGGGAGAGGACGTAGCGAATATCGTCTGTGACTCGCCCATTACGCACCTCCTCACGGGATAGCTGGGGGAAAGGGAGAGAACGGGAAAGGAGGGGAAGATGAGGAGGCAAAGTAAAAGAGGACGTAGCAAATCACTGACCTGACCGGAACCACAACTCACAATGATGCGCCCATCTCGCCCCAGCGCCCCCTGCAGCATGCTCTGCAAGGTACCCAGCAGGATATCCAGCAGGATATCCAACAGCCGAGCCCCTTTCAAGGGTTCTCATTTGAAACATGACTCAGATGTTGAAAAGCCTCAAACTAGATCCACAACTCACATTGATGCGCCCGTCTCGCCCCAGCGCCCCCTGCAGCATGCTCTGCAGGGTACTCAGCAGGATATCCAGCAGCCGAGCCTCCACCACGAGCCTCGGCGTCAGCACCGGTACTGTAAGAATCTGCACGGAAAAACTCTCAAGAATCGATACTCTATTCCCTGCACTCCCACTCCCTGCCGCTCCCCGTCCCCTCCGCCCCCCGCTCCCCCGCGCACCCCCACCCCCCCACCTTCCCCCGTCCTCCTCCCCGTCCCCTCTCCCCCCACTCCCCAGCACGAAGGCCGAGTAATTTGCAACGAACGCGAGCGCGAACTGGTACTTAAAGCCCGGATCGCCTAGAAGCTTGTAGAGCAGGCGGTGGGCTACAAGCATGGCGTCCTCTTTGATACCCTCCTCGTTTGCCACCAGAGCTTCCAACAGACTGGTAGACACTGCGACAGCAGCAGCAGTGGTGGAGGGAGGTGAGGCTGGGGGAGGTGACATTAAGGGAGGTGACACTGAGGGATGTGACAATGCCGGGAGGGACGACCTTGCTGCTGGGCTGAGCAGTGAGCTTAGACCCACAGGAGCAGAAGCAGAGAGTGCATGGGAAAATCCCGGAGCAGAGATAGAAGAACCTGTAAGGGCAGCGGCTGTAGGGATAGCAGCAGAAGTGGGAGTAATGGCCGTGCTGGTCGAGTGGAATCTCAACGGGACTGTATCAGGGCGGGCAGTAACGGGGATGGGGCATTTCCTGGTGAGCACGGACGATACGAGGTGCAGCAGCCCTTCACTGGTGCTGGCGAGTCTCAGGAACATCTCAGAAAACCTCTCTGTCGCTGCTGCTGCCTCGTTCTTGGCTGCTCGGAGCCGCGCTGCTGCAGATAACACTGAAGAGAAGGAGGAGGAGGAGGAGGAGGAGGAGGAGAAGGAGGAGGATCCTCTGAACCCATCGTTACCACTCATCCACCCTCCCGACCCCCCCACACCCCCTGTGAGGGAACCTAGTAATGAGCTCATACTGCTTCCCGCTGTTCCGCCTCTCCCTCCTCCCCCTCCGCCTCCGCCTCCCCCTCCCCCTCCTCCGCCACTTCTCCCGCCTGTAAACCCGAACCCAGAACCCCCCCAACCCGCAGTGCCTCCGCTCCTCTCTTCCTCCAGCCGGGCAGCAAAAACTATTTTCTGCTGCCATTCCGCAGCAACCGCGGCCAGGACGGGTTCTGCCCGGGCAACGAAAGTTTCCGGGAGGGGCGGGGCGTGCCCAGGTCCAGGATGCTTCTTGCAAAACCCCTGGCGCTTCCAGGCCGTTGGATCGCCGCAGTCGCAGCATCCACCGCCCGTTTTGATCATCGCATAATCATGCCCCTCATGGTCCCCGTCTAGAAAGCAAGGAACACATATGGCACAGGTGGGATCATGCTCACAGGTCCTGCACCTATATGCTATGTCACTCGCTCCCCATACCGCCCCGCATACCCCCGACGCTCCTGATTGGCCGAGAGCCGCCAGTGCTGATTCTGGATCGGATCCGCATGCCGCCCAGAGAATCCAATCTACAGTGCCCAAATAGGCATCTTTTACCATGGCTAGCGAGTCAAGATCGAGATTAAAGCCCACGCGACCACCACTTAAAGCCTTGACTGCTTGCACTGCCTCATCTAAGAAAGCAGCGTCACTACCACCTTCGTTTCCCCCTCCTGCTCCTCCTCCCCCCATGCCCTCCCCCCCCAGTCCCTTCCCCGATCCCGCCTGACCTCCCGCCCCTCCCCCCATCTCCCCTCCTGGGGAGAAGAGCAGAAGGTGAGGAGCGCGGAGACGAGGCGGGGGGCGAGGTGGGGATGGGCGCGGAGGAGTGGGGGGAGACATGCGGGGCCCCCTGCTATGTCTGCCGGCTGTAGCAGACGAGTCTTGAGAAGCTCGCGCTGGGGAAAAGAAAGGGGGACGGGTTGGTTTGGGGGAGGTGAGGGGAATGAGGAGATGGCTGAGTAGCGGGGAGACATGCGGGTCCCCCTGCTATGTCCGCCAGCTGTGGCAGACGAGTCTTGAGAATCTCGCGCTGTGGCGGGGAGGGGAGGAAGAGAGAGGGGGAGGAGGGAGGAGGAAATGGGAGATGGGTTGAGCAGCGGGGGGGACACGCGCTCCTGTCCTGCTAAGTCCGCCGGCTGTAGCAGACAAATCTTGAGGAGCTCGCGGTGACGAGGGAAAAGAGGGAGGAAGGGGGAGGAAATGGGGAAATGGGTTGAGTAGCGGGGACACAGGCGCTCCCTTCGTGCTATGCCTTGAGGAGCTCGCGGTGGGTTGAAAAAACGCGGAAGCGTAAAGAAGGGGGAGAAAGGAAAGGGAGGAACGGAAGGGGAAGAGAAGGGCGAAGGCGAGGAAAGGAAATGGGGGAAGGGGAGGGGAGGGAAGGAAAGGGGGGTAAGGAAAGGGGGAAAGGGGAGGGGAGGGAAGGAAGAACTTGAGGTGCTAATAATTAAGATCACTTGTGGGACGTGTAGTGCGCTGCAATTTCCTGGACAGCACGGATTTCTTAAAAGCCTCAAACATAGCTGAAGCATCTCGGATCAGGTATTGCTTACCACAGCATTGGTAGGAAGCATGATGAGAACGGCTGGTAAGAGCGCACGCCCTCAATTGAGATGCTTGATTAGAAGACGGCCAGATTCTGAATTCTAATTGAAAACTCTCCTTCGGATGAGCGGGGAAGAAGAATCCACGGAATTTGGCGCTTAGTACACGAGCTTCAGCGTCGCTTTGATAAACCCACGCGAGATTTCTCTCAGAAAACGCGAAAATCCAAGCGACGGTGCCTAGCTACACGGGAAGACTTAGACAGGCCACGAAACGACGCCCTAAACAGCAGGAAACGGGGTAAAGCCGAGAATTTTCTCTTGATATAGCGGTTTGAGAGCAATTTTCTAGGAACTACCTACAAGAGACGTAAGCAGAAATCCACAAGGCTACTCGAAGTTTTAAAATTCTCAGATTTGCTAATACTCGTCGTCGGCAGTAACGGGACGACTAACTACGCGACTGGAAGCTCGATGAACGAACTTGCTGAACCTAGAAATTGCCGACGCGTCCCTTCAGCAGAGCCTGCCAGCATCTGGAGTCTCGGAATTGTATCGACGTACGCGACGCGTAACCTACTCCCGTCGAGCTACGGAACCCGGAAGCATCACGACCAAAAGAGAGACGTGTCACAGGCGCTACTAGTCCAAGAATCTGCTACTGATCTAACCGTCAGGATATACGAAAACAGAGAGGCTTGGCGAAAGAGGATCTTTTGAGAATTATTAAAAGTGGCTTTCGCGCTTGGTGAAAGAGGACCCTGCATATCGACCTAAGGACGGCGAGAGGAAATTATCCCCGCGCGGTTTACGCAGAGCGGATTAATGTAAGAGGAACCGCCATTGCGCTTGTTCTAAGGCTCCGAGGTCCGAAGAAAAGGTAGAATCCGTGAAGGGACATGGGGAGCGGAATTTGTGATAACGTGGTATCTCGTGTAGCGAATCCCAGAAAGTCTATATATGTTATTTGAAACAATGCTTGCAGGTTGATATAACTTCATCTTGTAGAGTTCGGGTGTGCTCTTGGATTTTTAGTAATACTTCACATTCTATATGCAGAACCCACATCTTACACAAATCTATTCACAGGTCTAGGTTAAGATCTATTTGTTGGCTTGCCTTGCTTGGCTCGTGCCGACCACTAGTCCGAGTAAGAACGCAACCAAACAATCTGTTACCCGCATCCATCATATCCCCTTTTTCAAAACCCTTATTCCCAGCAGATGCATCAGTCTCCCTCCCACTGCACCCAACATCCTCAAAGCACACACTTTGCTTCACCGCCCCATCTTTCGGGCTTTCCACATCATGACTGACAGATGAAAGAACCCGGCCGAACAACAAAGGTTGTTGTTGAGCCAGTTCGGTTGCAAATGACTGGCTATGCCGTGCCTCTTCACGAAAAGGCACGTCATTCCTTGGGGTATCCCTATCCTTGCACGCACTGCCTCTTGTGTCCATTGAAGTAGGGCTCTGAACCTGGATCGAGTGCTGTCCCGACTCTCCAACAGCCGCTTCATGATCCCCCATACAAGCTAACTCAATCGTATGTACAGCACGTGAACTGCTTATGCCAGTACAATCTGGTTGCGAGACATCCGGAGGGGTAATTTGTTGGAGGCGATGTGCAAGTCTTTGATGCTCTTGTGGCCCCGGCTCAAGATACGGTGGCAGCAGCAGAGCCACCGGCTGCTGCTGCTGTACAAGCTGCTTTGGCATTGCTGTGCCTTCTTCCTGCCTGTGCCACCTCATATCCTGCTGCTGCTCCTGTTGATGCTGCTGCTGCAGCTGCTGTGCCTGTTGCTGCACCTGCGGTTCTGCTTGTTGCCGTACCTGCTGATTTACCCGCTGCGCAGCCAGGCTGCTATTAGCATGCACCCCAGTTCCCCTAGTTCCCGCCAAAACGCCACTATACCACCCGCTCTTCATCCTGCAGGGTACAGAGAAGTAAGAGCACATGGAGGAGCAACAAGGCGGAGGCAGATCCAAACTCATGGACCGAGCCGTCTCCTGAATCTCACGCGCAAACCCCTCTGCTGTAGGCAGCTTAGCAGGCAGGCTCGCCGTGCTTGCCGCTGCTGCTGCTCCTCCGACCCTTCTCCGCCTGCGCGCGGGTGCTGATGCTGCATCAGATGGCCGAGATGTGGGGCTCGCCAGAGCGGCTGCTTCTGAAGTGGCTCTCCAATGCTCTACTGATTGCCACGTGCTGCCGCGGCTGGTACTGCTGCTGCGGGGAAAAGGCTGGCTCTGACAGCGTTTCCTGGAGCCAGCGGTGGAGTCCGGTTCCCGTGCCACTCTCTTTTCCAGGAAGACCGGTTTTTGCCCACCAATCGGTTCAGAAACACGAAACCCTAGGCTGTCGCGGTTGGGGGGGTCCTGAGCTGCTGCATTGCTGGGTTGAGCTGGTGACGGGAAGAGCGGCAGAAGCGAGTCGGTGTAGGGGGATTCTTCGCTCGGGGGAGCACTGCGAGGCGATGATGCTGGGTACGCGAACGGAGGTGGATCCATGGCCGCTGGTGTTGCCATGCCGCATGAAGCAGGCTGGTGCTATAGCCTCTGACTCAGTCAGAAGAGCAGGCCGCGGTCTGAAGCAGGCTTCTCTGACTCTCAGTCCAGGAGAGGCGTCCGCGACACTCAGATCGCCTGTGAATGATGTTACTACTAATGGAGTGTGTTCTAATGGAGTGCCGCGACACTCCGATCGGAGCACTGTCGTCTTTCAAACCACCTAAGGCTAGTAGTACGAATAGTTGCTCAATCTTCGTCCAGCTCCTCCATTTCAATCAAGAAGCTGTATGAACCTGTTCTTGAAGACACGGAAAATTAAGAATCACCTTGATGGAAGAAGATTTGTGTCCGCCAGAAGTCGGAGAGTGACAGAGTATGGTCGGGGCCCACGCCAGTTGGCTAGGCGTTCACAACCCACCACAGGTGAGAAGAGGAGACCTGTACGCAACGCAACGCAATCCCGGGAGACCTGCCCTCGAGCAGATGTTAATTTGGAACGGCCAGATTGCGATTCATAGGAGGGCGAACTGAACTGATGCAACAGATATGAAATCCGGCGATTCTAAAAAGTTGTTACAGTTTTTTAGACGGCGATTTCATTTAGTTTTAGCCGACTTTCCCAGCCAAGCGGGACGATTGGACAGATCGATGCTGCATCCGATTGTGCCGATCGTGAAACGAGAACGATTCTGAAGAGAATCGTTTGATCCCAGCCAGGCCTGGTGGGAAACAAAGATATGGTACGGGCAGACGCTAACGCCTAACACTGGGGGAGTCAGGGGGGAAACCATGGGGCCCTTAGCTGGCGAAGGCCAAACAAGCTGCTCATGGTGAAAATGCATTTGTGTGTGGTGAGGTGATGGTTGGCTTGGTTCAGCCAGCCACCTTGCTGTGTTTTGGGGAGAATACAAGGGCTTAGTTGTGGCTCCTTCCTCTCGAATCGAATCAGATGGACCATCCAAGATATGGCTGTTCTAGTTCGAGCAGCAGAAATTTGGTTCCTCCTCCCGAAGATCCTGGATCTCACAGGACTGAATGAGGGTAAAAATACGGTTCGCCTAGGTTTTGTACGTTTCAACGGGTTTAATAATGTCGTCGAACACTACGATCCTTGTCAAGGAGCTGAGGACGGAGGATTCGGGTGAAAGGTCAAATCGGGACGAAATCAAATGTTACACCGGGCAAGAAAAAAAAAATAACATTTCTTCAGAAAGGTTCCCCCGCAATGTTGGGGTGATTCCTAGCTCGTGTCTGACATCAGGGCATCGTTCTGTACACGCACAAGCCATCGGGCCTCTCTGCACAACTCTGCGGAAAGCATGTTCTCCGAAGGGGAGAGGTCGCCGAAACTCGAAACTGCTGACGAAGCAATTTCGCATACATCCGAACTTTTTTCGTCCCATCTGCCCAGAACGATTGAAGGATGTTTTAGGGCTCAACCCAGGCACAAACCTTAGACTTTTTGGGGTTCCCTGCAACCACCTCTCAACCGTAGGCGTTTTCGGGGTTTGATTTTTCTGTGGTGAGGTTTGATCTTCAAACGTCCCAGTAACGGGCGTTGTGATCTGCCCGTTATAGCCTGTGCGTCTCCTTATCCCTGGGGGGATGGGCGGGTAGGGTTTGCACGGGCTGTTGGCTCAATTTGCCCGAGGAAGAGGCTTCCATGCAGCCTCGGAGGGAATGGACTGTTCTCCGTTCAGTTACACGTGGGCGCACACCGTCTGCTCCCAGGTTCGGACGACAATAACGAAATGGGAGGTTCGACGTGGGTTTTAAAGCCTCACATCGCGTTCCAAGAAGGTTCATTACTGGGCCTGAGCATCTCCAATGCGCCTACAGAACGATGCCCAGGTCATCGGCCCTTCCGAATGCTGATTTGCCCCTATTTCGAGCCACTTCGGGTCTTCCGAGCCTCCACTTCGCCGATGACCTGATGTCAGACACGAGTTGGGAATGGGCCATTGGACAAACTCTTGAGGTTTCACTGCTCATTTGTGAGAGATGGGGTAAATTTGTGCAAGACTACACCAGAAACTGTTATCCTGGCGAACGGATTGGATTTCGCTCACGTGGGATGAATATGAGCGTGGATTCGCGCAGCCTTTGTTTATATTTTACATAATATAACAAACTCTTTTGCCAGCATGGAGCAATAGCTCAGTGGTAGAGCAATCGACTGCAGATCGATAGGTCCCCGGTTCAAACCCGGGTTGCTCCTTAGGCTGACTATCCTTTTTTCTCTGACTGTCGATCACATCATTTTCAAGCTACTCCATTGTATTGTTGTTTTCGAAAAGCATCAGTTACTTAGCGCAGCCTTGACTTATAGCGCCATAGCAACTCATCCCTGCCAAGATTGAGCAGGAAACCTTCTGAAACGCATGGCTATAAAACTTCCAGTTGCTAGTAAAATTTGACTCTAAGCCGCCGATAGCTTTAGCACCACAAAAATAGCCTCCCAAAAAAAGCCCAGCAGTGGCGAACACTGATCAAGCATCCTGCTGTACAGCCTTCAAGTGCTGCTCCGTGTTCACTGGTCCCTCAGCAGTCACGGCTCCCTCCATACCTCCCTTAGCATTGAACAGCTCCAGAGCTGATGGCAGGCCCAGGCCCAGCATCTGAGCCACCTCTGAGGCCTGATGAGGCAAGGAGGGGGAGAGGGAGGGAAAGAGGGAAAAGATTTTTTAGTCGACTCAGAAGGCTGGTCAACAGCCATAAAGTGCCGCGCCACGTTCACTCACTGGGACAGACACACATTTTTTAGGTGCCTCCAGAATAGTCTTCCCAACATTCACTCCTCGCACTAACATCTGTCACCTGTGGGGGAGACGTATGAAAGTTCCTCACAAGCCACACCTAACCACACCTACTCCAGGCCTCACCCATGCCACCCGCCTAGCCTCACCCATGCCTCTCTCCGAGCCTCACCCATGCCTCTCTCCGAGCCTCACCCATGCCTCCCGCCGAGCCTCACCCGTTCCTCCAGGGTAGTAAGGTGGGCAGCAGTGGTGCGCATGCGACCATCGGCCCCGTCCACTCGCTTGCTCACACTGATGTGCGCGTCTGCATGCACTGCCACCTGGGGAAGGTGGGTGATGCAGATCACCTGGAGGAAAGGGGGTGTGGGTGTGGTGGCAGGGGGGTGTGGGTGTGGTGGCAGGGGGGTGTGGGTGTGGTGGCAGGGGGTTGTGGGTGTGGTGGCAGGGGTTGTGGGTGTGGTGGCAGGGGTTGTGGTGACAGGGAGAATGAAAGGAAAGGGCAAGGAGCATGCGGCCATCGGCCATGTCCACGTGCTTGCCTACGCTGATGTGCGCGTCTGCATGCACTGTCACCTGAGGCAGGTGGGCGATGCAGATCACCTGGTGGCAGGAGGAGGCGTGTGGAGGCAGGGAGAATGAAGGGAGGGACGGACATGGTAAACTCCTTTTGAGACGTCTCAAAAATCACCTGGTGGCAGGAGGCGTGTGGAGGCAGGGAGAATGAAGGAAGAGACGGACAAGGTAAACTCGCTAAACATTCTCCCGGCTATCCTGTCTCAAGGTATACTCACCTCTTACCTGGTTACTTCTGGCATAATAATGACTCGCGTGGTTATCCCTGGCTCAAGGCATACTCACCTGATTACCCTGTCAGCACAGTATTATCACCTAACTACCCTCTCTGCACAGGTGTACTGACCTGATTACCCTGTCAGCACAGTATTATCACCTAACTACCCTCTCTGCACAGGTGTACTGACCTGGTTACCCTGTCTGCACAGTATTATCACCTAGCTACCCTCTCTGCACAGGTGTACTGACCTGGTTACCCTGTCTGCACAGGTGGCGCAAGGCGAGGGCGAACCGGGAAGCAATCCTGCCGCCCACACCGCTGTCGAGCTCATCAAACACCGACACGCTGACACCTGGCGTGCTCCCATTGGCTGCTGGCAGATCACCGCTGCTGGTGGTAGCGGCAATGATTTTGAGCGCTGGAAGAAAGGGGGAATGGAGAAACTTTTGAGTCGACTCAAATGTCAACGGAGGGAAGAGAACATGGAAGAACGGACGGAGGTGTTGGATGGGTCGACGTCCTGTAAATGGTGAGCATAACTCAAAAGTCAACTCAAAAGTCAACTCAAAAGTCAACTCAGCACAATTCAGCGTACCAATGCACACCAGGGTCAAACTCTCCCGACGTCATCTTTTGCTAGCATAACTCCACCCCAGCAAAACCCTAGCCATCGACTCAGCATGACTCAGCATAAATTTCCTGTGCACACGAACCAGCATGACTCAGCTTAACCCCTCAGCCCAACTCTCTCACCTCTCTCAACCTCACGTCAGGTCAACCAAACGTCCCCAACACGACCCCTCGGCCCAGACTGGCCTAACCAAACCATCAAAACCCACCCCAACCCAACTTACCCCAACTCAACCCAAACCACCCCAACCCACCCCGGCCCACCCCAGCCCAGCCCAGCCCAGCCCAGCCCAGCCCAGCCCAGCCCAGCCCAGCCCACCCCATCTCACTCCAGCCAACCCCACCCCATCCCAACCCACCACAACCCATCCCAGCCCACCCCAGCCCACCCCAACCCACCCCATCCCACCCCACCCCACCGCACCCCATCCAGCCCAGCCAACCGAGCATAATGCGGGAGCACTCGCCGCCCGAGGCCACTTGGGAGAGCGGCAGCAGAGGCTCTCCGGGATTGGCCGACAGTTGAAACACCACCTGCCAAGCACGCAGGCGCATTGGATCGAATCGAATTGGATTGGATTGGATTGGATTGGATTGTCATGAAACGGATTGGATTCGGCACTTGCAGACACCCGGAACGGAACTTAAAGACACAACTTGCAAATGTCCCAGCATATAAATGGGTTCGCTTTTAGCTTGGATTGTGCAAGATACACTACTTATGCACCCCCTATACATGCCACTCCGCTCAATTCCACAGTGTGAGTGCGTGCAGTTGAATCAGTAAAACACGTCCTTTGAGTCGACTAAAAAATCGACTCACAAGCAATTCACCTTGTCTATGCCAGTGCTGCTGTATCGATAGAACACGTCGCTCCTTTCGCCCACACTCTCAGCTCCTACCACACGAATCAACCCCTCTTCCACTTGTATCTCCGTCCCATGCTGCTGCTGCTCACCCCTCTCTTCCTCCTCCTCCTCTTCCTCCTCCTCCTCCTCTTCCTCTTCCTCCTCCTCCTCCTCCTCCTCTTCCTCTTCCCACTCTGCTTCTACCTCCCTTGCCCAGCCGCCCCTCTTCCCTACTGTCCTCCCCTTCATTCCCACCCCTCCACCACCCCTTCTTCTCTCCTGCATGCTGAGCTGTGATTGGCTGGGGGGAGTTGACGTGGCACTGTAGACCCGAGGGGTTGCTGGCTCCTGCAAACGAGGGGGGAGGAGCGCGGGACAGGGAGGGGATGGGAGGGGATGGAAGGGGAGGGGAGGGAAGAAAGAGAGGTGGAATGGAGATAGAGAAAGAGGAAAGAAAAGGTGGGAAAGGGAGGGAGAGCAGGGGAGTGTTAAACTGTATTATGCTTGTAGGCTGTAGTGGGGTAGCCAATATGGGGTACAACCCCAACTAGGGTTTGATATTTGTACCCAAACTTCTGCTAGTTCATCCATTCTTGCCTAGTGATTCTGACATGGTATTCAGAGCAGGAGGTCCCTAGGACCTACCGACCGTTTTTTTTAAGGGCCCACCACCGCTCGCATGCGGTTACCACGCTACCCCGTGCCCTAGCCTCGTAGCGCCCTCGTGCGCCCTCGTTAGCGCCCTCGCGCGCCCCTCGTTAGCGCCCTCGCGCGCACCCTCGTTAGCGCCCTCGCGCGCCCCTCGTTAGCGCCCTCGCGCGCCCCTTGCTAGCGCCCTCGCGCGCCCCTCACTAGCGCCCTCGCGCGCCCCTCGCAGTGTCGCCCGCCCGCCGAGCCGCCCGCTCGCAGCCCGCTCGTCCTGCTGCCCGCTTCGCAGCCCGCCCGCCCGCTCGCTGCCCGCTTCGCGGCCCGCCCGCCACGCAGCCCGCCCGCCCGCTCGCTGCCCGCTTCGCGGCCCGCCCGCTTCGCAGCCCGCTCGCTCGCTGCCCGCTCCGCGGCCCGCCCGCTTCGCAGCCCGCTCGCCCGCTCGCTGCCCGCTTCGCGGCCCGCCCGCCCGCTCGCTGCCCGCTTCGCGGCCCGCCCGCCCGCTCGCTGCCCGCTTCGCGGCCCGCCCGCCCGCTCGCTGCCCGCTTCGCGGCCCGCCCGCTTCGCAGCCCGCTCGCTCGCTGCCCGCTTCGCGGCCCGCCCGCTTCGCAGCCCGCCCGCCCGCTCGCTGCCCGCTTCGCGGCCCGCCCGCTTCGCAGCCCGCCCGCCCGCTCGCTGCCCGCTTCGCGGCCCGCCCGCTTCGCTGCCCGCTCGCAGCGCCGCCCGCCCGCCCGCTACCTGCTTCGCAGCGCCGCCCGCTGCCTCACTGCCCGCTTGCTGCGTCCCCTCTGCTGCTGCTGCTGCTGCCGCTGCTCTGCTGTGCCCTCACGCCTGAGCTATGGCCTCTATTCGCGTTCTTTCCTTCGATGCTGAGGGCCGTCCCGTGCAGTTCACTTCCTGGCTCGACGACCTGCAGTTGTATCTTATGAGCAATAGCACGGACCACATCTCCCTCTATGACTACGCGTCTGGTGCTGCCGCTGCTCCTGCTGCCACAGCCGAGCTTAGTGTTCGTTCCCACTGGCAGACTCGTGACGCAGCTGCTCGCCTAGCCATTCGTAGTCACCTGCCGCTAGCTGAGCTCGAGCATTTTGGCGACTGCAAATCCGCTAAGGCCCTGTACGATGCTGTCGTTGCTCGCTACTCCTCGCCTGCCACAGCCGAGCTTAGCCGCCTCATGCTGCCGTACCTGTTCCCCGATCTGTCCACCTTTACTACAGTCGCCGATCTTATCACCCACCTTCGCACTAGTGATACTCGCCTGCGTGCCGCCCTTCCCACCGAGTTCTGCGCTAAGAACCCCCCTCCACTGTACTGGACACTCCACTTCATAGTCACCCGTCTCCCTGACACCCTCCGCTCAGTTCGAGACCACTTCCTTGCTCGCTGTCCCACTGAGCTCACAGTCGCCCTCCTAGAGGAGCAGCTGCTCGCGGCCGAAAAGAGCATTGTAGCTGTTGGTGCTGCTCGTGGCGCTCCTCGCACCCCCATCTTTGAGGGGTGTTCTCCCTCTCCCCTCGCTCCCTCCTACGCTGCTGCTGCTGCTGCTGTTGACTTCCTTGGTGCTGAGTCTGTTGGCGCTGCTTCTGCTCCTGGTGGGAGGCGCCGCACCGGCAAGGGCAAGGGGGGCAAGGGTGGTGGTGGTGGCGCTGGGGGGGGAGGAGGTGGGGGAGGTGGGGGGGGAGGCGGTGCTGGAGGGAGCGGTGGCGGGAGCGCTGGTGGGAGTGGGGTCGGTGGTGGAGGCGGGGGCGGCGGCGGAAGCAGTGGCAGTAGTGGCGGCGGCGGCGGTGGCGGCGGTGGCGGTGGTGGCGGTGGTGGCGGTGGCGGTCGGAGCGGTGGTAGTGGTGGCGGCGGCGGTCGGAGTGGAGGCACTGGCTCGGGCCAGAGCTCCCAGCAGCAGCAGCGTCCCCAGACGACCCAGCAGCTTCGTGAGTGGCTTGCTCAGCGTGGGACGTCGGGGGGCAGTGGCCGCTGTTCTTATGTCATTCGCACAGGTGACCGCAAGGGACAGACGTGTGGGAGGTTCCACACCCCGTACCGCTGCTTCTCCCGCCTTGACGACGCTTGGCGTGAGGAGATGGGCGCGGATGTTGAGCGCCCCCGCTGGGCTGAGCTCATGAGGGCTGGTGTTGATGTCTTTGCTCTTGACTATGATGCTATTATTGCTGCCATGTATGCATTGACTGTTAGTGCCGAGGGAGACTGTTACTTGTGTGTGCCGCCTGACCCAGGTATAGAGCCCGCTGTCCTGGGTACTAGTGAGTCTGCTCTCTCTGGTATGGTGCCCCCTGTACTTGCTCCCTCCAGTGCTGTCCCGACTGTTTGCGAGTCTGCTCTCTCAGGTACAGCACCCACAGAGACTGCTCTCTCAGGTACCGCACCGGCTGAGGCCTGTCACACCTTCACGCTTGACTCAGGTGCTTCCCGTTGCTTCTTTCGTGACAGTACTGAGCTCACACCGCTTCCTGCACCGGTCCCAGTCTCCTTGGCTGACCCCTCTGGGGGCCCAGTCCTTGCCCAGTCCACCACTGTCCTCCCTTGTCCGGCGGTTCCGTCTGGCTCGTTGTCGGGTTTCCACCTCCCCTCGTTCTCGACGAACCTGGTGAGCAACGCTGTCCTCCAGGATCAGTGGGTTGACACCTTTACCCCTGGCGAACAGCGTGTGGCGATCTGCACGTGCTCCAGGACAGGCCGTCACCTGGCTACGTTTACCCGTCGGCCGGGGTCGAGTCTCTACACACTGACCACTGCGTCTCCTCAGGTCGCTGCTGTCGGTCAGGTGTCTGCGTCAGGTCTGGTAGCCCACGCCTGTGAGTGTCGTTCCCTGTCGCACCAGACTCTTCTCTGGCACCACCGCCTGGGTCACCCCTCCTTGCCACGCCTTCGTGGCATGCACCGTCGCCACCTTGTGTCTGGTCTTCCCAGGTCCCTCCCTCCCCTCCCTGCCTCGCCTGCGCCGCCTTGCCTTCCTTGCGTCGAGGGGCGGCAGCGCGCCGCTCCTCACTCCTCCTCGTTCCCCCCGACAGAGGCTCCTCTGCAGACCCTCCACCTGGACGTGTGGGGCCCAGCCCGCGTTCGTGGCCAGGGCGGTGAGCGGTACTTTTTGCTGGTTGTCGACGACTACTCGCGTTACACCACGATCTTCCCCTTGCGCACCAAGGGTGAGGTCCCTGCTGTTCTGATCCCTTGGATCCGCACAGTTCGTCTCCAGCTCCGCCGCCGTTTCCGGACGGATCTTCCTGTCCTGCGTCTGCACTCTGACAGAGGTGGTGAGTTTTCCTCCGATCTCTTGAGGACCTTCTGTCAGGCGGAGGGCATCGAGCAGACCTTCACGCTTCCGGACTCCCCACAGCAGAATGGGGTTGCTGAGCGCCGCATTGGCCTGGTCATGGAGGTCGCTCGTACCTCCTTGGTCCACGCGGCGGCTCCCCATTTTCTGTGGCCGTTTGCTGTCCGGTACGCCGCGCATCAGCTCAACCTCTGGCCCCGTGTCTCCTTGCCGGAGACCTCGCCCACACTGCGTTGGACGGGGGAGGTTGGCGATGCGTCGCGCTTCCGGGTGTGGGGTGCTCGTGCCCTTGTCCGCGATACGTCCGCGGACAAGCTCTCCTCCCGCACGCTTCCCTGTGTCTTCCTTGGCTTTGTCCCTGATGCGCCTGGCTGGCAGTTTTACCACCCCACCTCGCGCCGGGTCTTCGCCTCTCAGGATGTCACCTTTGACGAGTCGGTCCCTTTTTACCGTCTCTTCCCCTACCGCACTGCCCCCCTCCCTCCCCCGCCGCTTTTCCTTGCTCCTGGTCCCCCTCCGGTAGACCCCCTTCCCCCTCAGGGTCCTGCTCCTTCAGGTGTCTCTCAGGTAGACCCTCCTCCCGTCGCTGAGCCTGTCGAGTTCACAGGTGACTCAGGTGCTGCTGCGGGTGGTGCTGCTGGGAGTGCTGAGCCTGGGGGTGCTGAGCCTGGGGGTGCTGAGCCTGGGGGTGCTGAGCCTGCGGGTGCGGGGCCTGGGAGTGCTGGGACTACGGGTGCTGGAGCTGAGGGTACTGTGCCTGAGAGTTTGCCGCCTGGGGGTGCTGAGCCTGGGGGTGCTGAGCCTGCGGGTACTGAGCCTGCGGGTACTGAGCCTGGGGGTGCTGCTACTGAGCCTACGGAGCCTCGGGTTACTGCGTCTGGGGGTGCTCCGGTTCGGGGTGCTGAGCAGTCTCTCACACCGCAGCAGCTTCGTGACTGGTACGTCCGGCGCTTTCGCCGTCCTAGTGGCTCGGCTGGAGTTGGGGGTGCTGGGGCTGCTCGTCCTGGGGGTGCTCGTACTGGGGGTACTGGAGCTGCCGGGACTGGTTGTTCTGGGAGCACTGCGACTGGAGCTGCTGGAGCTGGGGACCCTGGCGCTGGCGGTGCTAGCGGAGTTGGAGCTGCCGACTCTGGGGGTGGCGCTGCTGCTGGTGCTGCGGACCCGCCTGGTGGAGCTGCTGCTGGAGCTGAGGACCTGAGCGGTGGCGCTGCTGCTGGTGCTGGGGACCCGGCCGTTGGAGCTCCTGCTGGTGCTGAGGACCCGGCCGCTGGAGTCTCTTCTGCTTCTGGAGACGCTGCGCGGCCGCGACCGTACTTCGTCCCGCTCCTTCAGCAGGTTCTTGGGCAGGCTCCTCCTCCTTGTCCTCCTCCCTCCGTAGAGTGTCCTCCGCCTGTCCAGCCGCAGTCACAGTTACCGCCTGCCTCGCCTCTCCCTGCTCCCTCTCCTTACACTGGTCCCACAGGAGGTCTTACAGAGCGTCGTGAGCCTGAGTCTCGTCCTGCGTCACCTGTTCGTCCTGCTCGCGCTGGTAGTCGTGTCCGTCGTGAGCGTCCTCCTCCTGTCCCAGGCACTCACTACATGACTCTGCGTCCCTCTACTGCTCCTCGGCGTGTCCCTCTACCGTCTCCTCCTGCGTCCTCTTTGCCTGCCGTTCCGGACCCTGAGTCTGACCGGTATCGCGCTGAGCACCCTACAGTCACGCGTCTCCTAGCTACTGTTGTCACTGACCCTACCTTTGAGTCCTCTGCTGCGTCTGCTCTGGTCGCTGAGTTGGTTGACTTTGCTGCTGCCTGTCGTCTAGACTACGCTGCTAGCCTTGTTGCTGAGCCTGAGTCTGCGTCTGTCTGTCCTCCGTTCGTCGGGGGTGAGTGTGCTCTTGGCACGGACGTCCTTGAGGACAGGCAGGAGGACTTTGACTCTCTTGCGGCTGCTGTACCTCATCTCGTGGCCTGGTTGCTTGCCCCTGAGGGAGACCCGGATGCACTAGACATCCCCACTCCGCGCACTTACGCAGAGGCGATCTCGGGTCCCTACTCCTCTCAGTGGCAGACAGCCATGGACGCAGAGATGGCATCCTGGAAGTCCACAGGCACCTACGTCGACGAGGTTCCCCCTCCTGGGGCGAACATCGTCGATGGCATGTGGATTTTCAGGGTGAAGCGGCCGCCAGGTTCTCCGCCTGTCTTCAAGGCTCGTTACGTTGCTAGAGGCTTCAGTCAGCGTCAGGGGGTCGACTTCTTCCAGACCTTCTCCCCCACCCCGAAGATGACCACTCTTCGGGTTCTGCTGCACGTTGCTGCTCAGCGTGACTACGAGCTTCAATCTCTTGACTTCAGCACAGCGTTCCTGCAGGGCAGCCTGCACGAGGAGATCTGGCTGCGCCGCCCACCTGGCTTTACTGGGTCGTTTCCTCCTGGTACCCAGTGGAGCCTCCGCCGGCCAGTCTACGGTCTCCGCCAGGCGCCACGTGAGTGGCACGACACACTGAGGACTACACTTGCGGCTCTTGGGTTCGCGCCGTCTACTGCTGACCCGTCGCTGTTTCTGCGCACAGACACGTCGCTGCCGCCGTTCTACATTCTTGTGTACGTCGACGACTTGGTCTTTGCTACTGCTGACACTGAGGCACTCGCTCGTGTGAAGTCGGAGCTGCAGAAGAGACACACCTGCACTGACCTGGGTGAACTGCGTAGCTACCTTGGCTTGCAGATCACCCGGGACAGAGCTCGCCGCACCATCACCCTGACTCAGTCACACATGGTGCAGCAGGTCCTTCAGCGCTTCGGCTTCCAGTTCTCCTCACCACAGGCCACACCTCTGGCTACCAGCCACTCGCTCTCAGCTCCACCTTCGGACGAGTCCGTAGAGCCGAGTGGCCCGTACCCAGAGCTTGTAGGCTGCCTCATGTACCTGATGACTTGCACGCGACCTGACCTCGCGTACCCTCTTAGCATCCTTGCTCGTTACGTTGCGCCTGGGAGACACAGGCGAGAGCACTGGGAGGCTGCTAAGAGGGTGCTGCGTTACTTGTGCAGTACATCAGGCATGGGGCTGGTGCTTGGAGGACACGACAGAGTTGTCCTCACTGGTCACTCGGACGCTTCTTGGGTGGACGACCTGGCTACGCAGCGGTCGTCACAGGGTTACACCTTCAGCCTTGGCTCTGGTTCTGTCTCGTGGCGGTCCACCCGCTCTTCCTCTGTTCTCGGCTCTAGTTGTGAGGCTGAGATCTACGCCACAGCCATGGCTGCACAGGAGTTACGCTGGCTCACCTACCTGCTGACTGACTTGGGAGAGCGGCCTAGTTCTCCTCCAGTTCTGTACGGTGACAACAAGGCGGCTCTTGCCTTGTGTCAGGAGCACAGACTGGAGCATAGGACGAAGCACATTGCTCTTCGCTACTTTCTTGCTCGAGAGCTTCAGCAGCGCGGTCAGCTTCGGCTTGTGTACGTGGACTCGAAGGCCAACACTGCTGATATCTTCACCAAGGCGCTCCCGCCTAGTGATCATCAGCGGCACTGTACTTCTTTAGGCCTTGTGTCCACGTTTCCTCACTTGCTCACTGCTTGACATTCTTTGTACTGTACTTTATATATATCTTGTTGCTTGCTTGCTAGGTTTTGATCACTGTGTTGCTTGTCTTGTACTATATCTAGCACTGCATGTGAACTGGCCTTGTGGCCTTTACTTGTGCTTGGAGTGTGGTGACGTTGTGATCCACCCTGGGCTTTGCTTTGCTTTGCTGGACTGGTCTTGTGACCCTTTGTTCTCCCCCACTTTGCCTATGGGGGTGTGTTAAACTGTATTATGCTTGTAGGCTGTAGTGGGGTAGCCAATATGGGGTACAACCCCAACTAGGGTTTGATATTTGTACCCAAACTTCTGCTAGTTCATCCATTCTTGCCTAGCGATTCTGACAGGGAGAAGTGGGCGGGGCATAAAAGGGAAAAGAACGGAGGGGTTAATGCAGGAAGAACAGCATTAACTGCATTAATGCCAATCTTGTTCTTGTAATCTTCCTGCATTACCAATGCCAATCTTGTTCTTGTAATCTTCCTGCATTACCAATGCCAATCTTGTTCTTGTAATCTTCCTGCATTACCAATGCCAATCTTGTTCTTGTAATCTTCCTGCATTACCAATGCCAATCTTGTTCTTGTAGTCTTCCTGCATTACCAATGCCAATCTTGTTCTTGTAATCTTCCCCCATTACCAATGCCAATCTTGTTCTTGTAGTCTTCCTGCATTACCAATGCCAATCTTGTTCTTGTAGTCTTCCTGCATTACCAATGCCAATCTTGTTCTTGTAGTCTTCCTGCATTACCAATGCCAATCTTGTTCTTGTAGTCTTCCTGCATTACCAATGCCAATCTTGTTCTTGTAATCTTCCTGCATTACCAATGCCAATCTTGTTCTTGTAATCTTCCTGCATTACCAATGCCAATCTTGTTCTTGTAATCTTCCTGCATTACCAATGCCAATCTTGTTCTTGAAATCTTCCTGCATTACCAATGCCAATCTTGTTCTTGCAATCTTCCTGCATTACCAATGCCAATCTTGTTCTTGTAGTCTTCCTGCATTACCAATGCCAATCTTGTTCTTGTAGTCTTCCTGCATTACCAATGCCAATCTTGTTCTTGTAGTCTTCCTGCATTACCAATGCCAATCTTGTTCTTGTAGTCTTCCTGCATTACCAATGCCAATCTTGTTCTTGTAGTCTTCCTGCATTACCAATACAGGATAGGCTCACATCAGCTTGCCCACATGATCTCTGCTCTGAACCGTGGGACACCCACCCATTATTGACTGACGCACTTTACCAGCATTCTCTCACCCTTGCCACCCTTGCCACCCTTGCCACCCTTGCCATCACCCCCTTGCCACCATCCCCCTGGCATCACCCCCCTGGCATCACCCCCCTGGCATCACCCCCCCCCCCTCAACCCAACCCATGCCGTGCTTACCCATGAAACCACCGCTCTGAACCGCGCAGCACCCATCTCCAGCCCTCTCAGCACGCCCTCCACTCGCTCCCCCAGATCCTCTGCTGCCACCCGCCTCCTCCTGCTAGCTGCCAAAAACTGCCGCCCGACCTCTGCTGCGAGGCAGCTCATTTCTTCTTGTAGCTCCCTTCGCCTCTTGTCCACGCTCCCTGTCGTGGTTTTCAAAGGGCAGGTGGGACAGAAATAGGTGGGCGGAGGCAGGGGAAACGAGGATGTGGGAAAATGGAGAGGAGGTTTGAGGGAAAGGAGATGGAGCAGGTTTGCAGCAGCAGCAGCAGCAGCAGCTTCACACCAGAACCAGAGTCACAATACATGAGAACGTCACAATACATGAGAACGTCACAATACATGAGAACGTCACAATACATGAGAACGTCTCAAAACATGAGAAACACAGCAACAGCACCTGAGCTGGCGATTCTGCCTGCCGCTGTCTGGGCGGCGGACCAACCAGTCTGCTGCCGATCGAATGGCATTTTGAGTCGACTCAAAAGTTAACCAGCAACATCGCACCTAAACCACCACGATCAGCACGGCACCGCACCTGAGCTGGCGATTCTGCCTGCCGCTGTCTGGGCGGCGGACCAGAGCTCTGCTGCCGATCGAATGGCATGGCGCTTGCGAACAACTTCTATCTGCCAGCCACCATGCAGCGTTGGTGCAGTGCATTTTGGTGCGGTGCAGTGCGGTGGAAGCAGCAGAGAGCAGGGAGCAGGGTGCAAAGGGCACGCCAGTAGGTAAGAGACAGGTGAGAGGAGACAGACAAGTGTGCGAGCACAAGCAGCAGGGCCAGCACAAGACCCAGAGACAGCACGAGACCCAGAGAAAATTGTTATACATAAAGAAGAAGTAAGAAGAAGTGCAGATTGGATGAGTCACCTGCTAGCACGACAGACCCTCAACCAAGAGCATATTGGATCAACGTCTCAACGTCTCATCCAATCATGCTCATACTCTGGCCTTTTCCCCATTCCCATAATCAGCACCACCTCACCGCTCTGCACCGCTCATCACCTCTCTAAGCCGCTTCTTGAGTCGATCCATGCGCTCCTTTGAGAACCTTAGGTCGTCCAAGTAGCACTCAACGTGGTCTTTCTGGTGGGTTTAGTGCGGTGGGGTGCGGTGTAGTATGAGTGAGTTGTGGTGCATTGCAAAGGGGTGGGGAGCAGTGCTGGGGAGTTCAAGGGGTAGCATGGCACAGACAGACGCCGTTCGAGCGGCATGAAAGATTTTTCAGCGTAAGGAGTCTGCAATAACAAGGTGTGGAAGGTGCGCTCTAAGAGATGGAATCTATCAGAATGTTTGGAATATTTCTCTTGCACCGCTCTGTTCTCACCACGCACCGCTCTGTTCTCACCTCTCACCACTCTGTTCTCACCACTCACCGCTCTGTTCACGAGCATCTTGGCTTCCCCCAGCAGTTCCAAAGCAGCTGACACATCCTCAATCCTCCCCCTCTGCACATACCCCCCTGCACCCCCCCTCCCTCCCCTCCTCCCCTTCCTCCCACTCCCCCCTTCCTCCTCCTCCCCTTCCTGCTCTTCCTGCTCCTGCTCCTCCTCCTCCACCTCTCTCAACTCCTCCACAGTCTTACTCAACCCATGCAGCACGCCCAGAGCTCCAGACCCCTCCAGCATCCCGTGGGCGCGACTACAGCTCTCAGCTGCCCTGCCTGCCCGCTCGTGCTCCTTAATCTCCTCTCTAATCGCCTCTACTTCCCCTTCTTTCAGTCCTAGTCTCTCCACGTCCTCAACCAGTTCCTGCAGCACCATCAACGCCTGCTCCCCTCCTGCCTCCAGAAGCCTCTTCTGATCCTCCCACACCTGCCGCGCCCTTGCCAGCAACACTCCCACCTCCGCCCTCTCCTCCCCTCCCTCCTCTCCTCTCCGCTCTTCCTCCTCCCATTTCCTTCGCACCTCCTCTTCTTCCCCTTCCTCCATCTCGTCATGCATCCCCACCCCTCTTCTCTTCACCTCTCCACCCTCAACTAAACTCCCTCCTACATCCTCACCCCCTACCACACCATTCCCTCCACCATTCTCCATCCCTTGCATACCCCCCCACCGCTCTGCAAACCTATCCAGCAGCATCAACTGGGCACCTTCGCTTCTGAGCGCCCCCTGGGCATTCTGCCCGTTTAGATCCACCAGGGCTGCACCCACAGCACGCAGCAGCTTCAGAGGCACCACCACCCCATTCACCCGGCACACACTTCGCACCTTGCTGCTCTTCTTGCCCTTGCTCCCGCTCCTGATTCCGCTCTTGCCTCCGCTCTTGCTGCTGTTCCCCTCTCTGTTGCTGTTGCCATCAGCCTCAGATTCGCTATAAGCATCATCACCAGCCGTAACAGAGCGGAAAATCTCCCTCTCTAGAATCACCTTCACTCGCACACTGCCAGCTCCGCTCACCCCTGAACCACGCTTCTCCTGCCCTCCGTTTTTATCACCTGCACCATCAGCTAAACCACCTCCCCCAGTAACGGCCTTCACCACATCTAGCCTACCTTCCTGCCTGAGGAATTGCAGGAGGGAGTGAGAGGCGGAGGGGGAGAGGGAGAGATGTGCTGAGAGAGAGGAGGAGAGGGCCGGGGTTCGTACAGAGTCCTCTGACGCTGCTGCTCCCAGTACCTTGGAGTGAGGGAGAAAGGAGGGGAAGACAACGGGAAACAATATGGGAAGGATGAGTTTGAGTGGAAAGAATGAGAGGAGGAGAGGGCCTTGGGTCGTACAGAGTCCTCTGACGCTGCTGCTCCGAGTACCTTCAAATGAGAAGTGAATTGGGGGAATGGAGTGGGGGAGAAGTGCGGAGAAACAAGGGAAGGAGAAATTGAGTGGAGAGGATGACAGGAGGAGAGGATGACAGGAGGAGAGGATGACAGGAGGAGAGGATGACAGGAGGAGAGGATGACAGGAGGAGAGGATGACAGGAGGAGAGGATGACAGGAGGAGAGGATGACAGGAGGAGAGGATGACAGGAGGAGATGATGACAGGAGGAGAGGATGACAGGAGGAGAGGTTCAGGAGACAAACAAGGGCTGTACAGAGTCCCAACAGGAAATACAACCAGCGCTACAGCCACATAGGTAGCTAGTCCAAAAGCAGGTCTCACCTGGGCTATGGCCTGCACGATGATTGACTTGCCCGACCCGCTGTCGCCCGTGATAACGTTGAAGGCAGGGGAGAAGGAGAGCACCTGCTGCTGCACCAGAGCGAAGTCCCTGAGGGAAGGAGAGGTTGTGTGAGTGGCATCATAGGGGAGGGAACGAGGGAAGGCAGGGCATGCGACACGTTGAAGGCAGGGGAAAAGGACAGCACCTGCTGCTGCACCAGAGCGAAGTCCCTGGGACGGAGTGAGTGAGTGAGCGAGTGAGTGAGCAGCGGCAGGGGGGGGAGAGAGGGAGGGAAAGTAATCTGTTGAAGGCAGGGGAGAAGGAAAGCACCTGGTGGCCTACCAGGGCGAGTGAGTGAGTGAGTGAGTGAGTGAGTGAATGAATGAGGGAGTCCCTGGGGGAAGAGAATGAGTGAGTGAGTGAACGAGGGAGTGAGGGAGTGAATGAGTGAGCGAGTGAGTGTCGGCAGGGAGAAGAGAGTGCAAGGACGGGAGAGTCATGACCATCCCAGCGACCATCCAACGATCATCCCAGCGACCATCCCAACTACCATCCAGCTCTCAGGTGGCTAACTAACAACTGTTTTTCTGACGCCAGCTAGTAGTAGCGAATAAGACCAACACATACCCTGTCACTCACTCACACCCAATCGCACCCAACTCACTCACACTGTACTCAACCACACACTACCACACTACTCACCTAATATGTAGCTCTTCGAGCACTGCATCGGGCTCCACTCTCCCCCCCACCATCCCCTCCCACCACTTCCCCCCATCCTCCCTCGTTCCCCTCAACCCTTCCCCCCGCCCCGCCCACTCCACCTCGCCTGTCCTCTCCTTCCCCCTTTCCCCCTCTTTCTCCGCCTCCCCCTCCCCCGTACCCCCTAGCTGCGCTACAATCTCCGCCCACACCTCCCCCGAATCCCTCTCCCGCCCCACAGCATCAATCTCCTCCCAGAAATTATCCTCCCACTGCGTCCCGCCCCTCCCGCCCCTCCCGCCCCTCCTGCTGCTACTGCTAATGCCACGTCTGCTATCACCGAACACGCTCCTGCTGCTACTATACTCGCCACTGGCTTTGTTCCCGTTCCCCATTCTGCTCAAACCTCCGTTGCTGCTGCCGCTGCTGTTGCTGTTGTCAATGCCATTGCTGCTGTTGCTGCTGCCGCTGCTGTTGAACCTGTTCCTGATATTACTACGGCTGAGAATACTGATGCAGCTACTGCTAATACTCCTAACCGAGTTACTACCACCGGATTCGTTTCTTCCTGTAGGGATTCTTCCAGAGACTCTTATAAGGGGAGCTCCAGGGCCTCTGCTTCTCCTCCTAACGTTACTATCACATCCGGCAGCAGCACCTCTCGCGACAGTAGTAAAACCTGACCGCGAACAAGCTTGGTTGGATAAAAAAGAGCCGCCAGAATCGGCGGATCTGACACGTGGCCGCGAAACTGAGAGGGTCTGCGAGCGAGGCCAGGGATCGACGGTCATGGTTCCGCCAGGTCTGCTACAAACGCAACCTGCTATAGCGCGTCCCGAGACGCGTTCTAACGAAACGCATTCCATGGCGGAATCGCTACTAACGCGTATTGAGGTTCCGCACTTGGTACTAGAAGGTAAAACTACGACGGGCTCGGAAAACGCGCATTGACGATTGGAGAGGCGAACGGTAACATGCGTTCGCGAGGAAATGCTAGCGACACGGAAAAGAGCAGCGCGAAGTAGACCAGCCCGGCAATACCGAGGAAAGCAGAAGTTTCGTCTCGAGCGTCGCCGACGATCCACGCGTGAGGGTGGAGTAAGAATGAAAGAATCTACTGGCAGCACTTGGAAAACATCTCTGCTTGCTTATTCTGCTGCTTTGCGCAGCGTCGTCTTCAAGCTGATTTGTGGATGTAGATTTGTACCCGACAAAGAGGCAGGCCCGCTACAAGTAGTATTTAAGGATGAGACAATTCGGCTTTCAGTCTGGCAAAGCATGTTGTAATTTGCAAGGTGTACCTATCATCAGCTGAGGAAAAAAGGAAACTACGGTACCTAACAAAGAAAATAGGAAATCAGAGACTCCCTTCCCTACGCAACACGGTGGTTGTGCACCAGTCCAGAGAAGTCAAGCGCCTGTAACTCCTAATTTACCTAATATAATGTTAGGGAGAAATGCCTCACAATCACTTGGGAGTGTGTAACGGCGGGAAATCCTCGTCCTTGAGTTCATACAGAGCATCTTCCCCTCTGCACCATGCAAGACGTCAACGCCCAGAGGAACGATGCATACAAAATGCAGTACTCAAGATAGGTGTTGGTTTGCGGGCTTGGACAGAATTTGCACATTACTTGGACGCATGGACAGGTAATGTATGGCACACCATAGCTTCCAAAAAATGTATGAGTTTGTTGGAGAGGAGTGGAGAGGGGTGGGAGTGGAGTGAGTGGAGTGGAGCGGAGTGGAGAGGAGTGGAGTGGAGTGAAGTGGAGTGGGGTGAGGTGGAGTGGAGTGGAGTGGAATGTTGAAGGAATCACCTTATTCTTTTCCCTGCTTTGGGAGAGTTCAACACCGGGGAGCCACTTCCGCTCCCACTCTGTCCGCTCCGACCTGCCCCTACGCCTGCACTCCCCTTCCCACCTGCCCGAGGCGAAGCAGAGCCTGCAGAGCTTGCTGCACCTCCAGCACCTGCAGCACTCTTGCCAGCGCTGCTCCTGCTCTCCGCCTTCCCTCCCGTACTGCTTATTCCTCCTCTTCCCCCTGAACTCACCACTGAGCTGCCTCCACTGGAACTACCATTTGGGCCTGAGGCACCTGAAGCACCTGAGCTACCTGGGGTATCTCCTGGGCCAGGTGTTGGAGTGCCAGGTGCCATGGACCCTCCAGAACTCCCCAGCCCGTCTGAACCCCCTTCACTGCCACCAGCCACACCAGCAGCAGCACCACCAGCAGCACCACCAGCAGCACCACCAGCAGTACCACTAGCAACACCAGCAGCAGCAGTTCCTGTCAAGCCAAGGCCCTTGCGGTTACCAAGCCCCCCTCGGTGAGCGCTGTAGAACCTGTCCTCTGATCGGGACGCCCCTCCCAGGCTGCGCACTCGCTGTGGACCCTCACGGGCCGTACCTTCCCTAGATGCCACCTCCCCTCCTCCTGCCCCTGTTGCTCCTGAAGCTGACGCTGCAGCTGCAGGGCTGTTGCTGCGAGGAGTTTTTGGTTGCTGCTGCTGCGACAGCGCCAGCTGCTGAAGTTGCTGCTGCTGTAAGGAATACGGGCTGTTGCTGCGCCCTGCCTCATTAAACCCTCCTTCCTCCCTCTGTGCTGCACTGCTCACGCACGCACTACCCGCACCCTCACCAGCAGCCTCCACTTTGCCCCATCCCGTGGACTGAATTTGCTGGGGGGCAGCTCTTGGTCCCTTTTTCCCTGCCGCCTGCCTTTCTTCACCCGGCCGCAAGGACGATCTCCAACTGATGGTCACTGTCTCTGCCGAGGCTAGTGGCTCATCATCTGGTTCGGGCACTCGCCGATCTAGCTCCACAGGCTCGGCGCCCTGCTGTGCCATGGGAGGAGCGTTGAAAATACCATCAAAACCACCATCAAAAACACCACCGGCAGCAGCAACAGGAGCAGAAGCAGCAGCAGTGGGAGTGGCAGGAGCAGGAGCCGCAATGGCTGCGGTGGCAGCACCAGCCTTTCTACTAGTTGCGGAACCAGAGGGTTTCAACCCAAGGCCCTGCTTCGGCTTTGCCAAAACCTGACCCTGCTGTGCTTGGGACACCCCTATTGATCCCTTGAGTGCTGCAGCTTGCTGCTGCTGTTGGAGGAGTTTCGCGGACTGCTGCTGCTGTTCCGCTTGTTCCCCCATAGCCTGGGCCTCTCCCTTTCGCTGCCCACCTCTCTCTCCCCCTCTTCCACTCCCTTCCCTTCCACCCCCTTCTCTTCCACCCCCCTCGCCTCTCCCACTCCCGTCTCTTCCACTTCCCTCTCCCCTCCCACTCCCCTCACCTCGGCTATCCTCCCCTCTTGTGCCCCCTCGCTGCTGCTTCCCTGCACCTGACTGCCGCACCTCCCCTCTCGCCACACCAGCAGTGGACCCATGGCCCCGTTGAGACCCCTCCCCTGTGCTCCTATGCGTCCCCTCCCCCATGCCACGAGCTGCTCCCTCCCCACTGCCCCAAGACCCAGCCTCCCCAGCAGCATCAGCCCGTAACTCTGCTGACCCGCCCTCATTCCCTGATCCACTGACCCCCCTGCGTGGCTCTGCCAACACGCCCTCACTCCCCCCTCCGCTACCACCCCTGCCTCGCACAATGCGCGGAGCACTGGCAGTGGAAGACGAGGGGTCTCTTGTGGCCACGGGATTGGACCGTGCACGCACTGAGGAAGAGGATAAGAAAGGCAACGCGGAGGAGGAGGAAGGAGACGAGGAGAGAGGATTGAGAGCAGCTGCATCACAGGCACCAACTCCACCCACAGCTGCTGCTGCTGCTGCTGATGCAGATGCTGATGCTTCAATAACAGAAGGAGAAACAGCAGAGGCCGATACACTGGAAGACAGGGGCACAGCAGACGCAAGCCTCACTGCTTCTTGGGCTGTTTCTGACCGCACGACGACCCCTGTGGGTTCGGGAAGACAAGTCAGGTTTGGGCCAACGGAGGCACCCTGCGAGCCTGCCAGTTTGCTTCTAGGCAGTCCCGCAAAGCCCGCGGCTGCTGTCCCAGAACTGCTACTGGTGGCAGCGCTGCTCGTGGCAATGCCGCTGGTGCCAGTGGCGCTGGTGCTGCTGGTGGTGCTGCCTGGTGCTCGCTTGGAGGTGTCAATGCTGCCAGCACTGGCCACCCGGAGCATGCGGAACTCCCCACCACCGCTGCCATCAGCCAGAGCCTGCAGGATCTTGCTCTTGTCCACCCCGCCTGCCTTCGCACCACCACCACCACCAGCAACGCCTGCAGCCGCAGCGGTAGCTGTGGTAGTGGCAGTGACAGGAGTAACAGCAGCAGTGACAGTAGCAATCGCAGGACCACCTGCCTCACGCCCCTCTCTGCTCTCCACACTCCCTTCACCCGTCCTAACCATCCCTTCCTCCTTCCTTCCTACCCCTCCTCCCTCTCCACCCGCTCCTCTGCTTCCCGCTCCTCCCTCTCCTCCTTCAACCCCTCCTCCCACCCCTGCTACTCCCATCCCTGCTCCTGCCGCCCCTGCCGCTGGCACACCGCCGCCCGAGAACATGCCAGGTTGGGGGGCATACATGAGCATGAAGGAGTACGGTCCACCTGAGATCCCACCTGAGATTCCACCTGGTATCGCCCCAGGAGGAAACGTGCCTGGCTGCAGCAGCTGCGGGTTGGGCAGCACCTGCACCGCCTTGCCTCCCTCGCTGCCTCCTGCTGCCTGCCCTGGCACAGGATTAGGCAGCACAGAGAGCGAGGGTGCAGTGGCGGCAGAAGCAGCAGCAGCCGCAGCAGGACTAGGCATCCCAGCGGCAGGAGCAGCAGCAGCGCCACTTGCTGTGGTTGGAACGCTTGGGGATGCACCAGGGGCACCTACACCCTGTGAGCCGGGAGCAGCTGGTTGGGAGACGGGAGTATTAGCCAATACGTACGAGGGGAAGACACCCGGAGGCCCTCCTAAATGAGACAGCAGCACAGCTTGGGGACCTAGTGGGCGGGAGAAGGGATGGAGGGGGAATACGCCCCCTGGGTTGGCACCAGAACCTCCACCTTGAACCCCTGGAACCCCTGAGGCCCCTGGAACCCCAGTAGGGAAGGCGGTTGGGACATATGGCAGCTGCTTTGTAGGATCAGAGCTTGGCTTGGATGGGCCAAACGTGGGTGACGGGATGGCAGACGTCGGGTGGAGCACAGGGGTGGGTGCACCTGGGGAGGGTCTATTTGCGGCGGGTATGCCAGGGGAGGGTCTATTCAAGGCAGGTGGCTGCCCTGGAGATTCCCTGCCCAGTGGCATGGCTAACGAACCCACCAAAGGCGAACTAGTGGAGGTTAGCGGGGTCAGCTGTGGCCCAGCAATCCCACCACCACTCCACCCACTGGCATCGCCACCACTGCTGCTGTTAGTGCCAACACCTGCCTTTCCCTCTCCTACAAACACCACGGGCGCCACTGCTGCTGCCCTGGGTCCTGCCCCAGGAGCTCCCCCAAGACTAGCTCCAAGTCCTGCCCCGAGTCCTGCCCCAGGACCTGCCCCTGCCCCTGCCCCTGTTTTCTCCACATCCTCCCTACCATCACCATCTGCACTCTTCCCCACCGCTGCGGACCCAGACAGACCCAGAGCGTTTCCAGCCATAGGCGAGCCCGCCCTGGCCAGCCCATCCGACCAATCACTAGCTGCCACGCCAGCACCCTGGGCTTGCATGGGCGCATGGCCATGGGGGGAGGAGAACATCCAGGGGGGTGCGAGGTGAAGCGCCCTGATGGGAATTTGTGGGAGGAACGGGGCCATGCTGGAAATTTGGGCAAAGGGAGGAGCGCCAGAGGCAGGTCGGATGAGGGGAATGAAGGGGACGTGTCCTGGAGGGGGTGTGACAGACTTGACGCCCTCAGGTAACGGGGCCTGCACTCCCTCTGCTGCTCCTGCTGCTGAACCAATCGACTCTCCTGGCCCTTGCCTTGGCTCCTGCAGCTTCGAGCCTGGCGCCTGTTGCAGCTGGTCTACCCGTTGCCACAACATAGGAGGCGGCACAGCAGCAGCCGCAGCACCTGACTCTCCCCTACCGCCATCACCAGCACTACCAGTAGCAGCACCACCACCAGCACCACCAGCACCAGCAGCAGCGTTTGCTGCTGCGTCTGAAACCCCCGGGCCATCCGCGTTAGCACCACTGTCACTCACACCAAACGCTCCCCTGTACGGCCCTTCTCCTTCAGACACTCCCGGTCGCACGGGCACGAGGCCAGGCGCCTGTGGGAAGCCTGCTGCTGTTGGCAGCGGCATGGGAAGCGCCATGTAGGGAAACAGCTGCGGGGCTGGAGGAAGAGACGCGGAACCATCCGAGTTTGAAACAGGGAGCCGGGTTTGGGATCCTGGCAAGATGTGCGGCGGGTTGTTGCCTGAACCTGGGCCAGGTGCCTTGGCCTCCCCTTCTCTTCTCGGCTGTAGCTGCTGCTGTAGCTGCAGCTGCATCTGCATCTGCTGCTGCAGCTGCTGCTGTAGCTGCTGAGAGAAGCTGTCATCCGACGGCTGAGAGCCAAACGCCTGCAGCTGCTGCACAGGCATCTGCAGCAGCCGCGGGTGAAGCGCCCCTGGGAACGCAGAGAGCGGGACAAGGCAGGGGCCGTTGGGGGTAGAAGCCATGATGAGGAGGCCCGGGGGGAAAGGAAACGGGCTGACATGGGGGAGAGGTGAGGGTCCTGCGGGAGAACTGGCTGGAGGGCCTAGAGGAGGGCCGAGCGGAGCAGGGGGGGCACTGGGTTGTAGGGGCTGGGAACGGGCGTCTGGGGTGGTGAGAAAGGAGTCGGGTGTGGGGGAACTAGTGCTGGACATGACTGGGGAGGAGGAGGCTGTGCGAGGGACGAGAACAGGAACAGGGATAGGAACAGGGAGAGGAACGTGGGGCACAGGAATGGTATCTGGTCTGGCTGCAGGGGAAACAGAAGGGCTGTCAGCCCGCTGGGTTACATGTCGGGGTTCGTGTCGAGTGTCATGCCAGCTCTTGTTTCTGTCCGGAACCCTATCAGGAAAACTCCGAGAAGGAACACCTGTGTGCCCTGCAGCACCCGCTGCCCCTGCCCCTGCCGCTGCAGCTCCTCCTACAGCTGTTACAGGTGGTTGGCTGATAGAAACGTGGGGACTCGCACTGCCTCTGCCGTCCAAAGTGCTTGCATCCTGGTTCACGGGTGGTTCCACTGAGCTGGAAGACCCAGTGCTGTGAATGCTGTTGCTGCGGCTGTGGTAACCCCCACTCTGATTCCCCACACTTTGATTCCCCCCACTGCTTTGATCCAAGCCCTGTCTTGGAAGGGCCCCAGCAACCAAGGAAGCATCAATCCCGCCTGACAGCTGCCGTGCCGGCTCTGCTTCTGCAGCTACATTCAAACCACTGTTGCTAACAGCGCTGATGCTGCTAATAACAGGGGTGCTAGCGACGGTGCCGATACTAGAGCTGTTACCAGCAACTGCCCCTCGTGAGCCGCTCTGTGTCCTTCTCCATTGCACGTTGGATGCTGCGTTGCTGCTGCTACTGCTGCTACTGCTGCTGTTCCTTGCACCTCTCGATGTTCCCTTGGCAGTGCGTGAACCTGAACCAGCTTCTTCTTGTAATTGACCTCGTGCCGCTGCGTCTGATTGCCTCGCTGCCAACTTCCCCCCGCCTTTCCCTGTGCTGACAGCAGGTCCTGCACTCCCTGTGCGCCCTGCTCCGTCTTCCCCTCCCTGTGCGCCCTGCTGCGCATCCTGGCTTTCACTCCCTTCAATTCTTTCATTCCTTTCACTCCCTTCGTCCCTCTCGCTTCCTCCGCTCCGTTCACTCCCGCTTCGCAGCTCCTCCCTCGGGCGAGCAACCGCGCTTCCCGCCTTCTTACTCTCCAAAACCTCACTCGCCAACGCGTCTTGCTCCACAGAAGCTTTACTGTCAGCAGCACGACCGGCCTGCTCCAAGAGACGGACACTATTCTCAGACGGTCTCACAGCTACAGTGGCTTCGTGTGTGCCTGCCTGCACAGCATGATCATCCACCTGTGCTGTTCTGGGGGGGGTTGCTGCCAGGTCAGAAGTGGGCCGCACTGGTGGAACAGGATATAACCCGTTGACTGCCTCTGCTCTTTTTGAATGTCCCTGCGGTTGCTGTGGCTGCTGTTGTTGCGCCTGCTGCTGCAACTGCTGCTGCGACTGCTGTTGCTGCTGATGGTGTGCCTGTAGGTATTGTCGTTGCTGCTGTTGCTGCTGCGACTGTTGGTGGTGGTGCAGTTGCTGTTGCTGCTGTTGAGCAAGCTGCGCGTGTCTCGGACCACCAGCCATAGGAGGGGAAGCCCTTGCACCGGGAACATGCGCCACATTGGCAGGCACAGGGAACAGAGGAGCAGGGATCCAGGTATGACCTCCCCCATAAGGCACCCGGTGGGGCCCATCTGACGCCTGCACCTGCTGCCGCCTACCCATGTTCCCACCCATGTTCCCACCCATGCCCCCACCCATGTTCCCAGCCACGTTCCCAGCAACGTTCCCAGGAACATGCCCAGCCATGTTTCCGTTCATCACCACGCTATGCTGCCCCCCATGAGAGTATGGCACCCGCATAATATCCCCTTCTCCCGGAGCCTTGTTCTCATGAGCCGCTGCTGCGTTCACTTGCCCCCGATATCCCCCACCAACACCCACGACCGGCCTAACCGCATAAACACCTGTCCCCTGCCCCTGCCCCTGCCCCTGCTCCTGCTCCTACTCCTGCCCCCCCTACTCCGGCCGCTGCAGCTGCAGGTGCCACGCCTCCGGCTTGCACTGGGGGCGGCATGGGCTGGGCAAACAGCGGCATGCGCCGGGGCATGTGCTGAAGGACGAACTCGTGGTTGGAGCCGTCTGGGCGCGAGCCAGAGGCGTTGCGGTCCCACGTGTTGCGGAAGAAGCGGTCCACCTCCAGCGCCACCAGCTCCTCTGGCCCGTTCAGCGCCGCGTTCAGCTTGCGCGAGCCGTACGCCAGCGCGCTCCTGATGCGGAAGAAGTTGGCTGGAGGCACAGCGCGACAGGGGGGCGCAAGGAGGAGGCATGCACGGTTCAATGCGGTTGTGAGCGTCACCATGGCACGGTGTTGCAGGCATTGTGCAAACAAACTGATCCTCGAAAAGGCTAGAAAACGAAGTGAGTAGCGTGTGCGAGCGACAGCAAGCTCAAACTCATGCAAACCGGTGGGTTATGCATGAGCAAGGCATACCTTTGCTGACGCTGCGGCCGAGGTTATTATTGTCCAGGAGAGGGTCAATAATGTTCAGGAACTTGACCATGAACGGCCGCTTCTGGACCATGGGAGCCAGCGAGTACTTGGCATAGCACTCTGCCAGGAACTCGTCTGTGAGGAGCAGGTCCTCTACTCCACCAGGCCTCTCAGCTGCACATGGATTGAAACATTTGAATCAGTATAAGGCTCCTCTGGAAAACATATAATGTATTGGAATGGGTAGCACCACGTGTGAAGGTTGCAGTGAATTAGGGTTTCCAGACAGAATGTGCAGGATTGGCTGTTTACAAAACACAGTTGAGCGGGATAACGGGGAAGGGAAAGGAGAGTGCAGGGACGCACCGAGCATGGTGGGCAGAGACGAGAGAGGAACGGGGCCTTTGAGGCTGAGGCAAAACTGCTCCCAGTCGAACTTGCTAAACACCTCGAGAAACTTGACAAGCACCTGCAACGTTACACAAGAACATAAAAGGAAGGAGCAGGACAATCAAGGCGAACATAAGGATATGAAGACACACGGAAAATGGTGGGAGCCAGAAAGAAAGTAAAAAGCTATTACTAGCCCAAGAGACTTACGTGCAGAGGACTGTGAAGCTCCTTGTGAAACACGTGGAAAATGTACAGAACAAGGGTCTCCAGGCCGTATGTGGAGATGAGCCCGTGGTGAGCCCCTAGGATTCGGCTCTCGTAGTAACACCAGGCCTTCACCAGAATAATGCTCCGCTTGAAAATGTGGTTCCGGCCAATCAGAGCGTCCACCTGAACCGACATCACGCAACAACGTATGCTGCTTAGTACTGGTCCATTCTGGTGACAAAGAATCGCTGTGAAAATTGCATGTGCGAGGGAAACAGTTTAGGTGTAGACCTCTTCGAGAAATCCAAGCGTGCATAGGCCGCCGAGCTGGTTGAAGGAGATATCAACCACGATGTTCTGCACGAGACACTTAATGAGCTTGACCTGCGAAATAGCACAATGAGGGGAAAAAACACACACAAGAATGAAAGTTATTCTCGTAGACACAAACGGAATTCATCTGTCGCATCTAAAACTCTTCAATAGTGTGCTGGCAAACAGTGATATCATGTAGAGGTCGTGGGAATAAGTACCTCCGCGTGAATGTATTGAACTTCTTTCACTTGAAAAAGAGCATCTGCGTTCCGCTCTTCGCGTTCCAGGATCGCTTGCACGTCGTGAACCCACGCGTCCTTCACGGTTGGACCCCGGGAAAATGCGGTTAAGTCAATATCGCCGTCAGGAAGATAAGTCTTCAGAGGCACTGACCCGAACATAAACACCTACGCGGAGGAAGGAAGGCTGAATTAGATAACCCTAACCCTGATCCGCAGCGTTCGGTAACAGTAAAGAATATCACAATAACTAAAGAGCTAACTGGAACTCGAAGCAACGTGAGAAAGGCTGAATTAGATAACCCTAACACTGATTTGCAGCGTTTGGTAACAGTAAAGAATGCCATGATAACTGAAGAGCTACCTGGCACTCGAAGCAACGTGAGATAAGTCTCGTGACGTATTCGGAAACGGCCAGCCGTCTTTCCTCTGCTCTTGTTGTAGGTTGAATCTGGGAGATCAGATCAGCCACGCGGGCTTCTGCTATTGGCCATCTCACGACGGAATCCGACGAACTTCCGCGATCTGAGCTTGGAGATCCTTCTGCAGACGAGATTCCGTTGGACATGGCTCCCGCTCCGTACGAGGGAACTTCACTGTCGTCAACCATGGTGTCAATCGACTTCGCGAATGTCGCACAAAATTGCCGAGTTCAAAAGTAAAAAAGAAGTCGGCTAATTAGGGAAGAACTTGCATAAGCTCCTTATTCGGTAGCTTAAAGATAAAGCGGAGAACGGCGTCGTGTTATCTATAAGACCCACTTTGCTCTCGTATAACAAACGGGCTTTCGAACCAGCTCTGCAACCACACCAGCACCCGTAACGCATGGGCTACCCTACAAAACTGGAAGCGAAGAAACCCAAACATCCAAATAAGGAATGCGATCCACAGCTGCCTTATAACGTAGCTTCCTTCAGTTACTAAGATAGTGTAGTTTAGTGTAATCGTTCACCTGAATGTCACCATGGATCAGACATGGCCAAACTCCAGTCAGCCACGACAGCAGAAGAGAGGGAACGGGAGTGGTAGGAGACACGAGACGAGACTATAGAGATGGAAGGATGGCAGGGGGGAAGCAAAGCTGTGAAGAACACCTGCTCGCTCGCTGCTGAGGGTTCATCTTGACGAAGATTTGCGAGCAGGGAAAGAGTTCGTTTGGACGATGAGTAGCTGGAAACTGGGGATGTCGAGCACGTAGATGGTGGGTAGTGGTTACTGGAGAGCTCGAGGTTTTACGACAGTCGCTTTGACAATTGAGACGGTTGGCGAAAGGTTCCAAAAAGCCTGGACTGTCGCTTGCGAATGGGGAGAGGGAACGACGGATTTTAGATGGAGGAATCGGGGCCACACAATCCTGCCACGTTGCATGGCAACCTCGGGGAAGCAAAGTGAACACTCAGACTGAAAATAAAGCGGTTATATGTAACCAAAATGAATAATATTATGGTGCATCAGCTTATATTATTCAATGCGTTCTCCATATCGAGTACATTTCTCCCTCTCCCTCGACACCCAGGAGCCATAAACAGAGTCATCCTCACCATTTGTTTCGAAGTCGAATGGTGAAGTCCGAAATAGGTCGCGGTAGCTCGCTATGGCAGACGTGGGAAAAAATCCAGCACTCGACGACACGGGGGGGTTTCTTGAAGGGCTTTTTGACACTGATTCAGACGTCATAACCCGACGAATGTGAGTACCCGGCGGGTCGTCGATCTTCATTGTCGTTTCCTTCTTACCCTCAGTGTTCCCGCATTTCATCCGTTTCGTCACGTCTCGTTTCAAACTTTCCGCAAACCTGCTGGGTCGCTCCCCCTTCATTCATTGATTCCCGTTTCAGTCCGTCCCGCAACACCGAGTATTCTCAACCTCACTACTGGCGAACGCGATACGCGGGGGAGGAAACCATCCTTTATGACTGGTACGCCATGCCGTATTCCCGCTACTCCTCGATCCATGGCCGCCTTTCCTCTCTCTTCACGACCGCCACATTTTCTGGCGTGCCGACGCGATTCTTCCGTACGACGCGTTTTTCTTCTGTACAGCACATTTTGAAGGACATCACTCTTGCCTGACATGCCGCACATGTGGTCCTTCAAGTCCAATCTCACATCCTCCTCCCGTCAGAAACCACCAATTCGTCGAACCCTTTTCCACAACACTCAGGTACGATGTTGACTTCGAGACCTTCTGGCGCTCGCACATTGCGCCTCTCTGTTCAATAGAAGACAGGAAAGGGAGGGATTTACAGGAGCTGGACAACTCTTTCCAAAATGAAAGTCATTTACTGGTCAATGAATTATCTTCCGTACCAGCAGTATCAGCAACAGCATCAACAGCAGATGCAGCATCCGGATCTGCAGAGGTTGAGTCAGAAGCAAGGGCAGCAGTGGTGGCACCGCTGGTGGTGGTGGAGATAGGCAGCGGCAATTCAGAGTGGAGCATGCGCATGTCAGAGAGGGGCCTACATGTGATCAGCACGGATGTTGACGCTGGTGTGATGGCATCCATGTCTCGACTCCATGCCTCTCATCCTCAGTTTGGCGGCCATCCAGTGGATCGCATGGTTGCTGATGCACGATGCCTGCCATTCCGGGGTATGGAATGCTGCTTGTGAAAGAAGCGTTTTCTGCCAATTCAGGGCTCTCCGTTCTGAAAATCTGCATGACGTTTTGCTGACTGAAAGAAGCGTTTTCTCTTTTTGTTGCTTTCAGGGGTGGTGGATATCGTGGTGGATAAGGGAACCGTGGATGCTCTGCTGTGCCAGCCACCTTCTAAGGTAGGTAGTCGGGGAGTAAAAGGCACTCCAGTGTTGTACTTTTGCTATTTAGAGCAGGTACCTGCTTTGGTACATCCGTTCTCTGCACTACTGACAAACAGGAAGTCAAGTACAATGCTTACATAGCCGTTCTGCTGGCCGTTCTTGTTCCAGGAGTGCAAGTTACAGCCACTTTTGAGAGAGCCTATGAAGAAGGCAGCTTCAGAGAAACAAATGGTCATGCCACTTCAACTTGTGCTTTGGACAGAAGCTGAGAGGAGTGATGGTGTGACATCCCTTGCCAGGTAAGCTACCTGGATAGACGGCATTCCTGCCAACACATTCCATTTTCGTCAGTCCACTGCACCGCATTCCAGTAACCATCTCTTCTATCTGCTGGTTATATCTTTGACTTTGTCCGCCAGGTCAGTGCACAGATCGTTGAAGCCATGTGGTGCCTGGTTGCTAGCCAGTGCCAAGCCATCAGCTGTTCTGCTCACTGCAATTGGTCATCAGCAGATGAGCCGGCACTCAGGTTCAGCCTCTTCATCTTTACCCAGAGCAGATGGATTGGGAAGGAGATTTTGTGTGGATGTGCTTTCAGAATCATCAAATTTTGGAGTCACTGTATTGCATCTGACAAAAGAGTCAGACATGAGATAATGTCTATCCGTGTAAGGAGAATGTAAGACGCTACTGTAGGAATGTATGAATGCTGTCGGCGAGGCCTGAAAAACACACTCCGAGTCCTAGGAGCAGCAAAAACCATGCAGCAGCTCTTTGGGTGGCTGAAGCTGTCAAGCCCCCGGCTCTCTCACTGCACAAACTAAGATGTTGCATCAGCCAAAAGAGAGTCACAATGGCAGCGTTGTGGAATGTGGAAATCATCAGGACATACCTCAGTTCCACCATCCCAGGGAGACAGAAAGCAATGGTGGCTGCTCCTGTTGACCCTGCTAGCTCAAATGCTGACTGAATCCCAGGGACATAAAGAGAGGCTGCCAGAATGGTCCCCAACAACAGAACGATGGTGAAGATATATCCACAAGGATCATGCTTGAGAGGTACTGAACGTGGAAACAGCACGAATCCAACTGTGGACCGGAGCGAGAAGTGAATCACAGGGAAAACCAGCATCAGGTGAAGGGCATAGAATAGCCGCACAATGTCATTCAAGTAGCGGCTTCCAGGAATCCCAAGGTCAGAGTCGAAGTTTGCAAGGACGTCAGCATAAGTTGCTTCACCAAAAAGGAGGTAACCAAAAAGAGCTGTCACCGTGTATACACTCGTGCAAACAAGAAATGTCTTATGTATCGCATTCTCCATCTTCTCTTCTCGAGGTGGCTTTAGCTCCACCAGAATAGGATGCACTGAGCAGGGGACACATAAATAAACCTTAGAGCCAATTAGAATGAGAACGAAAAAAACATTGAAGAGGGACCCTTACTGTTGTAGTGGCATGTGAAGGCCGTTGCCATGGTGGGGATGACAGAGAGGAGGTGCCAATAGTCCTGCGATGTGATCAGCTGAGGAAGCCAGTGCACTCCAGACCAATCAATCGTCCCTTCAATTAGCTTGTACAAAGTAATGAGGATGGTGATGATGACAAAAGCAACTGCTAGCAGGACCGACAGTCCTGATGTGAACCTGAGGGAGTCTGCAGATCAATTCGAGGCGGGAGCATAGTAAGTTGCACGAACAAGAACAACGATCCGACTGATTCCTGGGTGTCTCTGGGATGAATCAAACTGGACAAACCTATGTCTGGAAGGGCGGAAAGAGGCCCAATAACAGTGACAATGGAGGCGAGGAGCACAGTGAGACGGCTGTTCCACCATGTGGGACCTCCAGCCCACTCCTCGAGTAACCCTGAGTAATGCTTTCCATCTGCGCCGTCCGAACCAGACAGCACATCCCCTGACCGAGGGATAATGAAAGGCGAGAAGACAAATTATTTGTAAGGAAACGGACGGGAGAATAAGCAACTGACAAGAAATCCTGACATGCGGACCTATGATGACAAGGTAGATGACGAGGATGCCTGTGTTATTGACAAAGATGCTCGTTCGGAGCAAAAATCTTCCAACTCTTCCATACGTAGCAGCCATGAGATCGCCGAAGGACCACGCTTTAGCTGCAGTTGTGCTTCTGAGAAGCCGCTGGAGTGAGTATTCATTCACTGCTCCCATTATGGCCAGCACTGTCAGACCAAGAGGAATTCCCAGGACCTGCCACTCACGGGTTTGACAAAGTTAGCCAGCTAAATTGCCTAGACAAACTTTAATTCGAACAGGATTCCGTCACAGGCCACTGAGAACCTTTATGGTCGCTGGAAGTCCCATGATTCCGGCACCAATGATGGTATTGGAGAGGTTGAATATGGCAGATCCCAGGGTGCTTCCGGGATGTCCGTGGGAAATCCCTTCAGATTCTCCATTCTGATCAAGCGAGGCGTGACTTGGGATATCTTGTGCCTTAGCTGGCAATAAAGGGGTGCTTTCGTTTGGTAAGGAACCTCGACCATTCTCAGTCTTCTCAATAAGTGACCTGTTTCGCAAACAAGAAGCCTGCCTTAGACACCGACGGTAAGTTCGACTATTCTCGTAACAATCATGTATTCTTACGCCATGAGCAAGGCTGGTTGTCGGAAGTCCAAATCTGCTGCAACGCGACCAGTCAAACGAGTAATTACAGTCGACAGCAAGAATAAATCCAATCCTACTCGCCAGCTTTCAGGATAAGGGGAGGCAACTGAGGTCTGGTGCCTGGGGATGCCATGCTAACGGCTGGATGAAAGTCCTCCTACCATGTTGGTGTTGGTGCTATGAAGAATCAAACGAAGGATGCACAAAATTGACTGATGACGGCTGGTTTAGTCTAGATAGAGGGAGGAGTAGCGATGTTTGGTTTGGCCATGTGTCAGGTGGTCGCAACCTCTGCTTGCATCAGCCCCCACATGACGTGCCGAACCAATGGCAACAGCGAAATGGCGCTTGGAGAACATCGGATTGGTGAACGATATCAAGTCACCACACACACACTATCCAATCATGTGCATCTTCGGTACGCGCGATAAGGTGGCCCGCACTCGTACGAGCACAACGTTTTGTTCATGTGTAGTCAATGAGGACCAGTGAATATGATTACAGCAGGTTTAACCCACTGGTCACTCACAACAGGAGTCAAGTACCCAGCAGAGCCAGAATATAGACTACAATAGTCACACCCAACGAATTAGCTGTGAAATGACTACAAACGAATGTCAGATATGGTAGCTTGGAAAGGAGATTCTGTGAATGTGCAATCTGAGTCATCGAAATGTGGAATCAATGTATTAGGGCGTGTTCCTACAGTGAACCTCTTATCAGGCTCGCATCACGTCACACTGAAATTCATGTAAATCCAAAAACCTTAGTGCATTGTATCAGGCAAGTCTGACCAGAGGTTTGCCTGATACCGTAAGAGGTGTAGGAACACGCCCTTATGTCTTGACGAAAGAGTCGGATACTAGTGAGTTGCTACTTGAGCGAGAATATTACTGTAGTTGTTACTGTAAAAGTGTATGAACACTGCCAGCAAGGCCTGTGAAACACGCTCCGAGTCCTAGGAGCAACGACGACCATGCAGCATCTCTTTGGGTAGCTGACGCTGTCAAGCCTCCGGCTCTCTCACTGCACCAACAGCATGAAATGTTGCATCAGGCAGAAGAATGCTAACGGATATCACCAGTGTAGGAATCAAGGCGTACCTCAGTGCCACCATCCCAGGGTAACATAAAGCAATGATGGCAGCTCCTGTTGACCCCACCAGCTCATAAGCTGACTGAATGCCAGGGACATAAAGAGAAGCTGCAAGAATGGTCCCTAGCAGCAGAATGGTGGTGAAGATATATCCACAAGGATCATGCTTGAGCGGCACTGAGTGTGGGAACAGCACGAATCCAACTGTGGACCGGAGCGAGAAGTGGATCACAGGGAAAACCAGCATTAAGTGAAGGGCATATAATAGCCTGACGATGTCATTCAAATAACGGCTTCCAGGAATTCCAAGATCAGAGCCAAAATTCGCAAGGACGTCAGCAGAGGTCGCTTCACCGAACAGGAGGTAACCAAAAAAAGCTGTCACAGTATATACACTCGTGCAAACAAGGAATGTCTTCTGTATTGCAGTCTGCATCTTTTCTTCTCGAGGGGCCTCTAGCTCCACCAAAATGGGATGCACTGAACAAGGAGGAATTAAGTATGTTAGGCCCAAAAGAAGTGGAAACAAAAAGATGGCATTTAAGGAGAGCCTCACTGTTGTAATGGCATGTGAAGGCTGTCGCCATGGTGGGGATCACAGAGAGGAGGTGCCAGTAGTCCTGCGAAGTGTTCAGCTGAGGAAGCCAGTGCACTCCAGACCAATCATTCGTCCCCAAAGTAATGAGGATGGTGATGAAGACAAAAGCAACTGCTAGCATGACTGATAGTCCTGATGTGAACCAGAGGGAATCTGCAGATCAAACGGGGGGTTGCATAAGCTGCTTGAACAAAATAAGAGAAATTTCAACGTCTCTGGGATGAATCAAACTGGACAAACCTATGTCTGGAAGGGCGGCAAGAGGCCCAATAATAGTGACAATGGAGGCGAGGAGCACAGTGAGACGGCTGTTCCACCACGTGGGACCAGCAGCCCACTCCTCCAATAACCCTGAATAATGCTCTCCATGTGCGCCTTCCGAACCAGACAGAATATCCCCTGGCCAAAGGATAGAGGAAGCATAAGGTAGAAGTGAGTATACGAATGGGAAAAAAAAGAAATTGACGAAACTGTCAGATTCTACAAAGATGCGGACCTATGATGATAAGGTAGATGACGAGAACTCCTGCGTTGTTGATAAAGATGCTCGTCCTGAGCATGATTCTTCCAACACTTCCATACGTAGCAGCCATGAGATCGCCAAAGGACCACGCGTTAGCTGCAGTTGTGCTTCTGAGGAGCCGCTGAAGCGAGTATGCGTTCACTGCTCCCATTATGGCCAGAACTGTCAGACCAAGAGGAACTCCCAGGGACTGCCATTTACAGGGTAGACAAGGTCAGCCAACGAGGTAATCTGTTCAACTTGCCTAACTCTTCACCTCGACAAGCATAATTTCGATCAGAATTTAGTCACAGGCCAATTAGAACCTTTATGGTCGCTGGAAGTCCCATAATTCCGGCACCGATGATCGTATTGGAGAGGTTGAATATGGCAGATCCCACGGTGCTTCCGGGATGTCCATGAGAAATTCCTTCAGATCCGTGCTGGTCGAGAGACGTGTGACTTAATATAATATCTTGTGCGTTACCGGGCAACAAAGGGGTGCTTTCAGTTGGTAAGGATTTCCGACCATTCTCGGTCTTCTTGATAGCCGACCTGTTTCGAAAACAAAAAGCCTGCATTAGACACCCGACAGTGAGTTCGAATTTCCTAAACTATCGTTGACCCTTACGCCATGAGCAAGGCTGCTTGTCGGAATTCCAAGCCTCTCGCAAAACGACCAGTCGAGCGAGCAACAGTAGCTGACAGCAAGCGAAACTCCAAGCCCAGCCTTCGAAAGCAGCTGAGGTAAATGAAGCGTGGTGTCTGGGGATGTCATGGTAACGGATGGATGAAAATCCCCCCCAAGGGCGCAGTATTAGTGTCCACCACCGCGTTATCCTGCTTATCGCATCTGAAGCTTGCTGAAACTAGTTCAACCCCGTCAAACAACGATCTCAAAGGCGATCGATCATTCCGAGATTGGTGCTAGTGCAACGTGACTGCCATGGCAAGTAGCCATGGAGGGCGTCACCTTACGAGAAATTGGGTTCTTGACTCCGCTGCCAATGTCCATCGGAGGTGCATGTTAAATACGCGCGATGGGACAGCTCACTCTCGTGAGAGCTCTTCGGTTAACACCTTGTGTTTCATGAATGTATATGTTACGAGTGCAATTGAGTGGACGAACGAGAATTGCACTATCGAAGCAAGCGTTTTTCCAGCGAAGGCATGAGCGAAGGATTATATAGCGAAACTACAGTGGTAACGGTAATGGACTGTGGTTGTCGCGCGACAGGCCTGGGACTGAGGTTGGGAAATGTCGAGGCGGAGGTCCGGAGCGCGGGTTACCCGCGAGCCGTGAGGTCGGGGTGCGACGTGCGAAAGTGGCGGGCGGATTGTCGATGCGAGGGGGGCGAGTGGTAACGGTGCTGACTGTGGTGCTACAGTGATGTACGCGTTGAGCAGGGATGCGAAGTAAGGAAAAGGAGATTTTCCTTACACTACCCCCCCCCCCTTGAAGGAGGTCCCCCTTACGAAAGTGCGTGTACGTCCCTGAAATTTCGGCTGCGCAGATACTCGGTGAGGATGGGGTGGTTTTCGATTCTGTCCAAGGGAACCCAATTATCTTCGGTGGGTGTACGGTCTTTCCAGCGAATCAGGAACTCGATCCTTCGGGCTCCTCGAGGGTCACAAACTCGGTGGCTGAGGATTTTTTCGGGGGTGATGATTGGTTCAGTTGGCGGTCGTGTCATGCTGGCTGGGCGATTGCGTGGCAGCTGGCTCGTGGACGGGACGTAAGGGCGAAGCAGGCTGACGTGGAACGAAGGGCTGACGTACCAGTCAGCAGGGAGGAGGAGGTGGGCGGTGACAGGTGTGATCATGTGGCTGATGCGAAATGGCCCGCAATATCGGGGGCGGAGTTTCGGGGTGACGGGCAGTCGGAGATTTTGGGTGTCGAGCAAAACTAAGTCGTCGGGCTGGTAAGTGACAGGTCTGCGGTGGCGGTCGGCGTTGCGTTTAGCGATGATGTTAGCCTTTTTAATCGCGTCTGCTGCCCTGGTCCGTGCCGCTTGCGAAATTTCGGCGAACTGTTGCGCACGTGGGACCGGGTTGTCGGGATTCGGGGTCATGGGTACTGTTGGGTCCTGTCCGTAGTTCAAGTAGAACGGTGACTGTTGGGTCGTGGCGGATGGGGCGTTGTTGTATGCGAATTCGATGAGTGGCAGCTGCTGTTCCCACGTGTTCGGGTCGTCGCACGTGGCCCGGATGAGCTGTTCCATGGTCTGGTTTGTCCGTTCTGTCTGTCCGTCTGTTTCGGGGTGGTATGATGAACTGAACTGTAGTCGCGTGCCGAACTGCTGCCACAGGTTCCGCCAGAAGTTGCTGGTGAATTTCGTGTCTCTGTCGCTGATGATTGACGCTGATATCCCGTGCAGTCGTACGACGGTGGCGATGAAGAGGCGGGCTGCTTCTTCGGCTGTGATTGATTTTTTGCAGGCTGCGAAGTGTGCCATTTTCGTCAGCCGATCGACGACGACCAGGATCGCGTCATTTCCATTTGCCCCGGCCGGTAACCCCGTGACGAAGTCCATCGTCACCTGCTGCCAAGCACGCTCTGGGGGTGGTATCGGCTGCAACTGTCCTGCCGGCCGCTTCCGTGATGACTTCATGATCTGGCAAGTGGGGCACGATGCCACGTGTCGCTGTACCTCGGTCAACATTTCGGGCCAATAATAATACAGCTGCAGCTGCTGTCGTGTTTTTTCTACCCCGAAATGTCCCGAGGTAGCCCCGTCGTGTGCCTCATGTAATAGTAGTTCCCGTAGTAGTGTGTACCCTGGTACCCAGATGCGGTCGGTCCCGGCTTTTACGTAATAGACTCCTTTGGCTGCAGCGAATTGCTGCGAATTTCCTCCTGTGAAGAATGGGTCTGTTTGATATCCGTGGGTAAATAGTCCTGTCAGTAGCGGGCTGGTCTGGGCGAGTAGTATGGCGTGGATTTGGGCAGTGGGGCGGGTCAGTGCGTCGGCGATATTCGAAGCTCCTTTTTTATAGGTGACCGTGTAGTGAAAATTCGACTCGAGGAAATCGAGCCAGCGAATCTGTCGTGGGTTGAGGTGGGGCTGTGCGCGGAGGTACTGTAGTGATCGGTGGTCTGTCCGTACTGTCACGTCTGCGCCGGTCAAGTAACAGCGCCACACTTTGAACACATGTACGATCGCGAGCATTTCGCGGTCGTGTATCGGGTAATTTCGCTCGGGCGGATGCAGTTTTCGTGACTCGTATGCGATGGGCTGTAGGCCGTTGCCAAAGTCTTGTAGCAGTACGGCTCCGATGGCGATGTCGCTCGCGTCAGTAACAACTTCGAATGGGCGGTGTGGGTCGGCAATGCGCAGGACGGGCGGTGAACAGAGAACATTTTTCAGGGCAGAGAAGGCAGCATGCTCTTTCTCCCCCCACGTAAAAGCGACCCCCTTCCGCAATAAGTCAGTCAATGGGGCAGTCAATTGTGCCATGTCGGGGACGAATCGACGCACGTAATTTACGAATCCTAAAAAACTCTGCAGTTCCGTGATGTTGGTCGGGGGACGCCATGCTTTTACTGTATCCAGCTTCTTTGGGTCGATGTCAACTCCAGCCTCCGAAATGACGTGCCCCAAAAATTCTAGCCTATCCTGAAAGAACTCGCACTTGGAACCCTTGGTCAGTAAGCGATGTTCGTCTAAAACCTTAAAAACTGCTTCCATATCCGCTAAGTGCACCTGCTTGTCCCGACTGTAAACGAGGATGTCATCGAGGTAAACTATGACGCATTTATCTAAGAGCGGCCTAAATGCCTCGTTCATGGTCATCTGAAAAGTCGCCGGGGCGTTGGTCAGCCCGAAGGGCATTACCGTGTACTCGAGCGACCCGTACCTAGTCCTGAATGCTGTCTTGGCGCAGTCCGATGGTTCGACCCGAATCTGATGGTAACCCCCCCGTAGGTCGATTTTTGAAAACACTCGTGCTGTTCGCAGTTGGTCGATCAGTTCGTCGGCGCGGGGAATTGGGTATCGCGACTTGACTGTTACCCTGTTCAGTGCTCTGTAGTCGATACACATGCGAAAACCCCCGTCTTTTTTCGGTGTGAACAGTATCGGTGCGGCGAATGGTGACGAGCTTGGTCGGATGAACTTTTTTTCTAACAGGTAATCTAACTGTTTCCTTAGTTCTTCGAGCTCGGGTTGTGTCAGTCTAAATTGGCGCTGTACAGTTGGCTGTGCCCCCGGTTCTAACTCAATCCTATGGTCATGTGCCCGCTGAGGTGGCAGTCCCTCCGGTAAGTCGTCCGGAAAAATCCTCGGGTATCGTTTCAACAGCTCCTGTAGTTCGGGCGGTACCGCTGCCAGCAGTTTCTGAAAATCGCTCGGCTGCTCCGCTGCTCCTACTAATGCTATATCCACTGCGTACACGTCAGCTCCAGCGGCGACAGCCCGTTTCATCGTGATGGCGTTGACGTGGACCGTTGAAGACTCGGGCGACTGCCAGCGAGATAGCGCGACCCAGTTACCGCTACTTCGCACAGTGCAGCTACCCGTCGTCCAGTCGATTCGCGGGTTATACCGTCGCAGCCAATCACGTCCCAATAAAATATCGTGCCCATCCAATGTCGTCGCGAGCATTTCCTGTGTAAACCCGAAGTTCCCCCCGCAGCGAACTTTTACCCTTTCCACCTTCTCTCGTATGGCCAGCGGCATGCCGTCAACTAAACGTGCGTTGATCTCTGGTAAGCACCGGCTAAGAGGCAGTTGCAGTTTCCGTGCGGTTGCGGTATTAACTAAGCTGTCGCTTGCTCCTCCGTCGATAAAAATCTTCACTGCTGCTCCCTGTATTTTCCCGTGGATCAGTACTGGGCAATCCGTCGCTGTACCCTCCTTATTCATCCGAGCCCGATCGATAGCGTGAATCGGTACTGTGACTCGGTGAGGGTCGGTGCGGTTGGGCGAGCAGGCAGTCTCGTCAGTAGTTGGCCCAACTTCTACTGACTGCTGGCGTTTCCCTGCCTCTGAGACTCCCTCCCCTGCTCCGCTCCCCGGCGCCTTAGCTCCTCTGGGCATTCGCTCTTGCGATGGCCCGGCCTGTTGCAAGCAAAGCAGCGCCCCTTAAACGGCGCGGCAGCTGCATTCGTCGCAACGGCGTTCACAGTGGCATGCTCGATCGATCCCCGAGGACGATGTCCGTAGTAGAACCCCGGTCTCGGTCGTCGTAGGATGTCGATTTTCTCGGCGAGTGCGAGGATCTCGTTAAAATTCGAGAGCCCGCGTAGCATGATTTCATGCGAGATGTCCGGCTTCAGCCCTCCGACGTAACGGTCCACCCGCTCCGCCTCGTGCATATAACCGACTTGCTCGCAAAGTGCGAGAAATCCACTCGTGTAATCTTGAACTGATTCGAGCTGCCGCCAAGTACGCAGTTTCTGACGCGCCGAAATAGAAGCCGCGATCGGCTCGAAGCGCGCCCGAAGCCCTGCGCACCACGCATCCCACGTGCTATATTGGGCGGTTTCGCAGAACGAACTCCAGTTAACAGCTGGACCCGCGGGCCCTTCCTCTTGCGACGGTGGCTCGTAGGCGCGTGGCGACGTCACGATGACTCGCCACCAGTCCATGGCGGGGCCCCTTAGCAGCGAAACAGCATACCGAATCTTCGCTGCGTCCGACTCGACGTAATTCGCGTCGAAAAAAACGTTAATCGTGAAGACCCACGATTGAACCGTCGGACCTCCACGTTGGCTTGGGTCGAAACAGGGCGGTCGTTGCGGCTTGAGTGGCATTGGCGTCATGACGGCTTGTTCGCCACTTGTCGCTGCGAATTCCACGTGCCGACGGTTTCCGCAAGGCTCCCGTGGGCTTGGCGCGCTCCCGTTTCCTCCCATGCCAGGCATCGGTTGGGCGGCGCTGTCACTGGCTGCGCCTGAGCGCTGTCCCATGCTGCCGTGTGCTGTTGGTGTACCGGACGAAATGACGATCGTCTCGTCTGATTGCGCAGGTGCATTTGTTGGTGCTGCTGGGGTGTTCACCGTGGATTGCTGACGCGCGGAGTCACGTTCCGCTGTGAGCGTCGCAATTTCCAACGCCGAATCTTCGAGTTGGCGCACCAAACGGTCGAGCTGCTCCTGCGTCAGTGTGGCAAGCGTGAATTCGGCCATGGCGGAGGTGTCGTTCGAGCTCAGCGAGAGCCTCAGTCGTGGCCGTGCGTGCTTACGAGAGAGCACTACGAGCGGCGGTGCTGTGTCGCTGAGAGACGTCTACCCCCCCCCAAAAAATTGAGATAGTGGGGAAGCGAAGGTGTGGGTGCGGTCCGAGAAGAGATCGTAGGCTCTGAATACCAAGTGTTACGAGTGCAATCGAGTGGACGAACGAGAATTGCACTATCGAAGCAAGCGTTTTTCCAGCGAAGGCATGAGCGAAGGATTATATAGCGAAACTACAGTGGTAACGGTAATGGACTGTGGTTGTCGCGCGACAGGCCTGGGACTGAGGTTGGGAAATGTCGAGGCGGAGGTCCGGAGCGCGGGTTACCCGCCGAGCCGTGAGGTCGGGGTGTGACGTGCGAAAGTGGCGGGCGGATTGTCGATGCGAGGGGGGCGAGTGGTAACGGTGCTGACTGTGGTGCTACAGTGATGTACGCGTTGAGCAGGGATGCGAAGTAAGGAAAAGGAGATTTTCCTTACAGTATACAATCGTGGCCATCCAAACCATCAGTCATCCAGGGTGCAGGAGCGTAACGGCTATGAACTACAATATTAGTTCCCAATAAGCCAGACTGAATAGAAGAGTCAGCAACTTGTTCTTATACCAAGCCTAGTACCTAGGTATCACGAATTTGTTTAACTCCACAAGAAACCAAGCTCCCACAATTCAATTCAACCGCTCAGGACCCCGTTTTCTCCCAGAGAATGTAATCATTCCCCTTGTCGACCAGCTTCTCCCAGCGCCCCATCAGATCGTTCTGCCGGGACGGGTTCCAGTCGAAGTGCCCAAGCTTCACCACCAAGTTATCCCCAACCTGCGCCACATACCCCTGCGCCACTGCATGGAAAATCTTCACTGGCGATCGGCAGTGCACAACCGCATGCTTCCGGGCAGCAATCAGCTCCGCAATTTGATCGTGAATGCCGAACTCGTACAGATGATCATAAAACACCACCGGCTGCAGATGGATTTGCAGGAACCGAAGGGGCACAGGCAACAGGAACTCAGACAGATATGGGGTGAACGAACCCCTCTTGCATGCATGGTTGTGAATGACACTGCTAGCACGGATTAGTGCGGATGTGTGATTCGCGTCAAAGAGACACGATCAACTATGTGTTCTTGATTGATGCTGATGGGGGTGTGCCTGCATTCAAAGGTGGCTTACCGTGCCGGGATGGGAGAGGATGTAGGCGTATCCCTGCAGGAGCTTCTCACGTGGGAAGGGCCAGTGGCCCTGCCGCAGGACACAGAGAGGGAGAGGAGAATGGCAAGAAGAAATACGCATGATAATAGAATCAAATATTTTTTTTTTCCTCGGCTGTAATAGGGGCTTGGATGGTCGCAACTTCACTAGGAGTCATCACAAAAAACTTGCAACGAGTTACAACAAGCTAGCACGCATGACCACAAGAATTTTACAGTGTGTGGCATGGAGACATACCACTTCTTTTACAGCAGGGATGTAGGCAGTCATACCTGAGTGGAGCCAGTGTCGTGGTTCTCGAGGAAGGTGACGGCTCGAGACGGCCACCACCCCATGACGCCAGGTGGCTTGCCCTGCGGGTCGATCAACCGCCAATACTCGTTGTGCAGTGCCGCATGCAGAATGCCCTGAGGGGGAGGCGAGGAGGATAAGTAGGTGGAGGGGAAGAGAGGGGGGAGGAGGATGGGGGTGAAATGGCAGGAGTTCAGACTGATTTTCCTATCTATTTGGAAAAGACAAACGCCACCCCATGACGCCCGGGCGATTGTCCCGTGGGTCGATCAGCCGCCAGCCATTCGAATCACAATGGCAAGCAGGGGAGGTACAAGTGGAGCAGGGGAGGGAAGGAGGAAGGTGGGCAGGGAAGGGAGGACACACGGATAACATCACAGAAGGAATCAACACCAACCTTGGTGGTGACGTCAAAGGCAGAGGAGGTGCCTCCAGTAGCGTTGATCCAGTTGATGATGCGCTGCCTGTGCGCGTCTGAGATCCACGGGGATAGGGCAAGGGGGTGGGTAGGATCCGTGCGACGTCAGATAGGCAGTGGTTGAATGACATGCCGAGAACGCCAGCTAGATATCAAAAGGCTAACAAAGGCACTGTGACGATTTGTAGGACAGGGCACTCACTCTGGTTGTAGGAGACGGTGCCGCCCTCGTAGCTGAGGCTGTCCCAATACTCCCCGATGCAGAACGCAGGGCTTGACGCCTCTATGTACTCCTTCACATACCCGCCCCAGAACCCACTGCAAGAAGGGGGACGAGGGATCAGAGGGCTTCCAGCTTGGAATACAAGAACGGGAGGAACTAAAATAAAATCATGCATTCGTGGGACGAGTGTCTAGATCCTTCTTGCGTTCCTCACTCTTACTGTCAGACATTCACAGCATCCATAACCCCTCGGACTCTGCAACCCACCTCGTGCTCTCAACGGGCAAACGCCAGCCATCGTGGCCGACGTTACAGAGCAGTCTCTCGGGCAAATCCCTGTGCCTTCTCGATCGCCTATTATGATGCACTCACAGAGATTATCACCCTATACTTGCAAACCCGCTTATGCTCTTACCGAGCAAAGTCCAGGCGCCAGCCGTCATAGCCAACGTCGGCACGCAGCCAGCGCAGCCACTCGCAGATGTCTTTCCGCACGAAGTCCTGCGAGTGATCAATGTTGGGCGCCGCGTGGAATATGTCACCTGGGGTTCAGCAGGGAGAGCGGGGGGAGGAGAGAGGATAGAGTAAAGGGGAGGGGGAAGAGGATAAGAGGAAGGGGGAGGGAGATGGGGAGGGGGTGAAGGAAAGGAACCGAATTGTGAGCTGACTTGAGCCAAAGGGAGCATCCACTCGCATATGACTTTCCACACGAAGTCCTGCAAGTGATCAATGTTGGGCGCCGCGTGGAATATGTCCAGGAGTATGGTTTGATACGGGGGAGATTTGAGGGGGAAGTGGGAGGATAAGGGGAAGGGGACGGAGAGAAATTGAGAGTCAACTCTCAAAGTCCTGTGAGCAATCACTGTTGGGTGGCGCAAGGAAGACGGCACATGGGACTTGTTGCAACTTTTTTTCTTCCCCACCAATGAATCAGCTTCTAGGCTTACGAACCAGCCATTATTGTGCTCTGAGCTCACCACTGCTGGGGTTGCCCAGGAGAATGGCATCCGCCCTCAACACCAGCTTGCCATGCTTGCCTATGCTTGTCCCTCAACGGACGCCCCTCATGCTCACCACTGCTGGGGTTGCCTCTGCCATGGAAGTTGGGTTCGTCCCGGACAATGGCCTCTGGTCCCCACGCCAGCTTGCCATGCTTGCCCCATAATGCAACCAAGCAGCCCTTGTTGTGCTGGGTCACCTATGCTGCACTCTCTGCTCACCGCTGCTGGGGTTGCCCCTGCCATGGAAGTTGGGGTCGTCCCTGACAATGGCCTCGGCCTCGGGCCCCCACGCCAGCTTGCCACCAAAGATGTTCCAGATGCCCTCGGGGCTCTGCTTGCCATGCTTGCCCCTCAACACGCTTCTCATTCATCCCACAGCACTCTCGCTCTCTGCTCACCGCTGCTGGGGTTGCCCCGGCCATGGAAGTTGGGGTCGTCCCTGACAATGGCTTCTGGTCCCCACGCCAGCTTGCCACCAAAGATGTTCCAAATGCCCTCGGGGCTCTGCTTGGACGCACAGCGGTGGTTCAGCACCACGTCTCCCAGCACCTGGTGTGTGCAGCACGGAAGGGGGAGCGGGGAGATAGGGGAAATGAGATTAAGAAGGGAAAAGAGTGGGAGTAGAAGCAGGGGCTCTGCTTTGACGCACAGCGGTGGTTCAACACCACGTCTCCCAGCACCTGGTGTGAGTGAAATGGATAGGGGCACAGGGGACGAGGAGAAGCGGCGGAGAAATGAGGGGGAGGTAAGTGAGGAAGACACGGGGCTCTGCTTGGACGCACAGAGGTGGTTCAGCACCACGTCTCCCACAACCTGGTGAGTGTGTGGTGAGAAGCGGAGAGATGCAAGTGGGGGGAGAGGAGGAGAGGGGAGTTGTTAGTGAGAGAGACGCGGTTCTGTGTGGACGCACAGCGGTGGTTGAGCACCTGGTGTGTGTGTGATGTGAAGGGGAAATTTGGGGGTAGAGCCAGGTCAGTACGGGGCAGTACAGTGGGATATTGGCAGAAAGTAGGGGAAGGCAGGGAGAGCACGTACGAGGAGGTCGTGGTTGTGAAGCTCGTCGATGCAATACTGCAGCTGCTCCTTGGTGCCGTAGCACGAGTTGAGGTTGTACAGGTCTACCGGCATGTACCCTGCAGCACCGCACAGGGGGGAAGGCGGGTGGGGGGTTGAAAACCCCTCTAGTCACTTTAAGTCGTGAAGATTGACCGCACCTTGCAGCAAAGGCAGTGGGAAACAGGGTGGGGTAGGGGAAGGCTGGCATGTACCCTGCACCCCCACTCTAACCCTAACCATCCAACACTCACCAACCCCAACTGACACTGACCCCTCCCCACACTGCAGAAGGTGACCCCTCCAACCACTGCCAAAACCCCACTACCAACACACACCTTGGGGAGAGACAGATTCCGTAGGAGGTGGGAGCCACACGGCCGTGATGCCACAGGCCGCCATGTCAGCAGCTCTGGAGCGAGCTCCCACCCCTGACCACCACGGACCACCCCTGACCACCACATCCCACCCATAACCACCGCTACACACCTTGGGGAGAGACAGATTCCGTAGGAGGTGGCAGCCACACAGCGGTGATGCCACAGGCTGCCATGTCAGCAGCTCTGGGGGCGAGCTCCAGGTACCAGTCGCGCTTGTTGCTCTCCCAGTTGAACGCCTGGATCTGCAGGGCGGTGTGGAGGGGTTAAGAGGGGTGTGGAGGGATATGGGGGAGCGTGGACGAGAGAGTGGGGGCGAGCTCCAGGTACTAGTCGCGCTTGTTGCTCTCCCAGTTGAACGCCTGGATCTGCAGTGCGGTGTGGAGGGGTAGGGTGCGGTGGGAGGGAAAAATGGATGGGGACAGAGGAGTAATGGGGGACATGGAGGGGTATGATGTGGGAAATTAGGGGCTGGGTCAAATTATTAGATTCTTTCCGATCTCTGTGCACAGGTGCATTCGGCTGAAAAGGGTCTTACAGCGAAAGATTGCTGATTCAACAGGACCCATCCCCCACCCCCCTTCCTCCCCTCCCCCTCCCTTCAACTCCCGGGTTCAGCAAGAGGTGAGGGGATGGCAGCTTACCACGACCTCGCGACCACTTCCCGTGCCAGACTCTGCACATGGACATTGTTGGGAGAGGAAACGAGTTGGGACACAGCGGAAATGGGAGAGCATTAGGTTGGGGCTCAGTGAGGAAGAGAAGGGGCGGTTGTGGATAGGTGTTCCAGAAGGAAACGTTTAGGGGCACATAAGGCACTGGGTTTGGGATCAGTGACAAAGAGAAGCCATGGCTGTGCATGGGTGTGATGCATGTGAGGAAGGTAGAAGGAGTAAAATCGGAAGCGTCATCAAAACGAAAAAGCAAGAAGAGCGAGGGGTCATGAGTGTGATTGAGAGTGAGTGAGAGTGGTAGAGGGTCTGAGTTGCAGAGAGTGAAATTAGTGGACATTGCAATGAGTCTGGGAATGCGAGTCAACTGAAGGGTAAGGACATACGGAGGATGAAGGAGGGAGCGAGGGGAAAGAGGGAGGGAGGGAGGGAGGGAGGGAGGGAGGGAGGGCGAAATGGAGAGGAGGGAAAGGAGGGAGGCAGGCAGGCAACGACAACTATGGCCATCTGCTGACTAACAACTATCACCACCCATGCCCTCCCACTGCCACCCATGCCCTCCCACTGCCACCCATGCCCTCCCACTGCCACCCATGCCCTCCCACTGCCACCCATGCCCTCCCACTGCCACCCATGCCCTCCCACTGCCACCCATGCCCTCCCACTGCCACCCATGCCCTCCCACTGCCACCCATACCCTCCCACGGCCATCCATGCTTTTGCACTTGGGCGTTTGGGCGCCTTGCACTGAAAGACCCCATACCCTGCCATCCCTCCCAAGCCCTGCCCCCTGCCCCCTTGGTCATACCCCCCATCAATCCCAATCCTCCCCCCCTTCTTCTCCCCCCCCCACAACCCTCACCTTTGCTCTCCTCCAGCTCCTCGGGCGACCGGATCCGCTTGGGCGCCTTGCGCTGCAGGGCGCGCTCCAGCTCCTTGCGCTTCTCCTCGATCTCCTTTGCCTCCGCCTCGCGCGCCTCTGCCTCCTTTGTGAACTTGTCGTCCGCCACCTGCCCGTGATGGTGCGGGGTTCAGGGTTTGGGTTTCAGGGGGAAGAGGCGGAACACGGGGGAGAGGGGTGGGGAACGGGGATGGAAGGAGAGGGGATCAGTGGGGAGAGATGAGAGAAATCAGGGAGAGAAAAATGAAGAACTGAGAGGAGAGAGGCGCGCTTCAGATCCTTGCGCTTCTCCTCGATCTCCTTCACCTCCGCCTCCTTGGTGTACTTGTCGTCTGCCACTTGAGTTGGGTGCGGTTTGCAGGTAATCAGTTGGACGCGGTTTGAAGGTATTAAGTTGGGTGTGGTTTGCAGGTATTCAGTTCAACAAATTCACACATAATACACCAGTGCTGCCAACTGTGCCTTACCTCTTCCCTCCATTGCATCATCTCACCTTGTGCAGAGCAATCGACCACACGTCATCAGGAGTGGGCAGCTTTAGAGGCACAGCAGCCTGCACGTTCTCCAGCTCCACAGAGATAGGCAGCGATGGCAGTGGGGTGCTCGTGAGCGTCTTGCGCTGCAGCCACTCGGGGCGCTCCCTCCGGGGCCCGTCGGCCAGAATGCGCCACCTCTCCGACTGCGTCCCCAGCATCACGTCCATGCGCCCGCGCGCCACCGCTTCGCCAACCTCCGCCTCCACAGGCGCAGCGGGAACAGCCGGAACAGCAGGGGCAGGCGCAGACGGTTCCTTCACAGCATCCAGCCCACGCGATTTGGCCTGAAAGGGCGTGAGGGAAAGGGTGCAGGGGGGAAGATTAGAAAGCGTTGAGATGAGCCACAAGGGCTTCTCCCTCCTGGACCCGTCTGCCAGAACGCACCAGGTACTGCAGCGTCAAACTCCCCAAAACGACAGCTGAAAAAGCAACTCACCAGGGCAAACAGCTCCTCCACTGCCAGGCACCGCTCCCTCCACTTCCTCGTGCTCTCCTCGGCGGCCGCCAGGCTCCTCTGCAGCGCAGCGAAGCGGCGTGCCACAGCCTGGTCCTTGACCTTGTCCGCCTTCTGTGCTGCCATGGCTGCCGCCCTCAGACTCTCCGTCTCCGCCTTGTACGCCAGTGCTGCCGCCTTCTCCCTGCCCTCTGAGGCCAGCTGAGAACAAAGAGGTTGTGGGGAGGGGGAGGGTAAAGGAGGGGAAGCAGCACATGTGAGCGCATTAAGAACTCTCTGCGTGCCTTGTACACCAGTGCTGCTGCCTTCTTCCTGCCCTCTGAGGCCAACTGAGAATTCGGAGGATGTGGGGGGAAGTGGGGGAAGGGGGAGAAGGGCAAGAAGGCTGAAAATGTTGCAGAGGTAGGGACAGAGGGGGGCAGACATATTTCAACACAATCGAGCACGCAACCACCCCTAACTCGCCGGCATGTCATACACCCACCCGCAAATGAGCTCACCCCACTGCTGCTCATCCCACGTGGGTGTCCCACATTAACCAGTCAGATCACCCACGTGTTGCGTATGTTCGCCCATCCCCGTGTCAACTCATTGCATGTTGACTCACCCGCATGTCATCCCACCCTCACGCGTGAGCTCATACCGCTGAGTTCACTCACCCGCATGGCCTCTAGCGCCCTCTCAGTGGCGTCCTCTCTCTCCTTGGCCGTCCTCTCAGCCAGCGCCTGGATCTCCGCCACTGCTGCCTGCGTTGACACTATGCGCGACTCCGCAGCTTCCGCACGCGCAATGGCCGCCTGAACATGGGTGGGTACAGGTGTGCGGGGGTGGGAGGTCGCCTCAAATCAGGGTGCAGGAAAAGGTCGTTACAAAGGGGAGAAAACGCACAATCAAGATGACTCGATATCACTCAGCAGCTGCCTCAGCAACGCCCAAACTCTCATCTTGAAACCCAAATCAGCCCCCTCGCCCTCCCAAAACCCCGAAACCTCCACCCTTTCCCATCTCCCACCTTGATCTCCATCCGCAGGGTCTCCTTTTCACTCTCCGCCTGCTCCAGCTTCAGCTGCAGCGCCGTGCGCTGCTCCTCGGAGCGCATGAGCGCCACCTCCGCGTGCCCCAGGCGGTCCAAGACATCCAAACGCTCCTGCAGCGCCGCCTCCGCCGACCTTGCCTGCTCCTTGGCGATGTCCGCAGCTGCTATCGCGTCCTCTATCGTTGCCTTCGCCTCCTCGATCACTGGCAGGCCAAGGGGCCGGAGGGAGGGGCAGGGACAGGGGGAGGGGCAGAAGGAGCGACAGGGGGAAAGGCAGGGGGACATGGAGGGGCAGGGGCAGGGACAGAGGCGTAGGGAGGGGGACAAAAAAGGCAGACAGCCGAGGGAGAGGGCATAGCGGAATAGGGAAGGATCAGTTGACATGAGCCACAGAAGCCAGGAGGGGTGGAGAAGAAGAATGTTGCAGCAATTTGAGCCTACTCAAGCCGCACGTCACATAAAGACAGACAAAACGCAAGCACGGCAAGGCCTACCAGCAGCAGCAGCCTCATCCGCAGCGAGCCTGATCCTCTCCTCCATCTGCGCGGCCAGATCTGCCGCCTCCGCCTTGGCCGCGGCGATCTTGAGCCGCGCGTCCTCCGCCACGGCCTGAGTCTGCTCCTGCACTGCCAGCGCCGCCATCTGCTCTACCTTCATCGCCAAATCAATCCCCTCCTGCTTAGCCTGCGCTAGCTGCTGCTCCACCTCCTCCTTCTCCCGCTGCAGCCTCGCTACCTCCTCTTTAAACTTCTCCTTAGCCGCCTCTACCTCATTAACCGCCTCTTCCGTGGTCAGGACCATCTGAGCAGACATGGCTTCGACCTTTGCTTCCGCCACGGTTACTGCTTCTAGAGCGAGCTCCTTGGCTTGCAGCGCGCTGGCTGCGGCCTCCTCTGCGGCGGCGAGGGACGCCTTGAGCGCCTGGATGGTGTCCTCGGGGGACGCAGTGGGGCTCAGCGCAGTGCCATTGGCGTCCGATGTAGCGCTCTCTGCTGGTCCCGCCTGCTGGGAGCGGAGGCGAGGGGAGGGAAGTGGAGGGGAGGTGGAGGTGAGGCAGCGAAGCGGGTCTTTGGAGGGAATTCGTAAAAAGGGATGCGACGGGCTTAACACGACGCCCTTGATCGGGCGCATGGTGGCTTACCATGGTGTCATCAAGTTCCGCAAGAGCAATGAATGAATGAACATGACTTATTTTTTTTGGAGACTGAAAAGTCGTCCCCACGACGGAGACCATTCAGCTTGAGCGATTTGATGACGGAGACGTTACCTCGTTTGCGATTCGAAGCCTTCTGAAGTCCAACGTGGGTGGAGACCTTTTCCCAGGCTGACCCAGGATCAAGCTCCTGGCGATGTGTGGTGCACAAACATCCATGTCGCGGAAAGAGGGGCGTGTCGCATGCACAAAGAAAGAAAGAACGGAAGGAAGGAACAGACTTGGCATCAACAGCCAGTTCGCACACTCCACCTAATATCACGTAAGCTAAAACACAGTGGCAAATTCACAGCGCACGAAGCTGCAGGAAGCACGTACAACGCGGGAAATAACAAGTTACAACGTCAAACAGCGCAACACGGCTTTTCTGGAAGCATAAAGTGAAAGTTGCAGCCTCTGAAAGCAACCATGAGCCGCGTCTCACCTCTGTCCCAGGAACAGGCTGCGGCCAGCAGCAGAGGCAGCAGCTGCGGATCGGAGACGAGGGGAGCCGTCCAGGGCATGCCCTGTGCTGTAGAGAGCAGCAGCAGCCGTGGGAAGGCGGGGAGGGGAGCGCTGCCTAGGGGGCGAGGACGGGCGGAGCGTGTACAGCAGACGGCTGGATTTGGCTGCCGTTGCAGCTGTGGTAGCGGTGGCGGGGGTGGCGGAGAGCGAGCGGAATGCAGTGGTGGAGAGAGCGTGCGAAGAAAGTTTCGGGCGAACGCAGAGGGAGGATGTTGAGTTTGTTGATGCTGATGCTGATGCTGATACTGTGGCTAACGCTGGTGCTGATGCTGCTGCCAGCGGTGCTACGCCACTCATGCACGCCTGTTGGGGTGTTGGGGAAACCCGAAAAATAGCATCAGGAAGGGAAAAGGACCGAATGATTGAGCAATTGGAGAACTTCTGTGCGGAGGAAATTGGACATGAGCATGACTGTTCCTGATGATGAATCGTTGAGGACTGTTTAGATCGACGAGCAGAAGACCTTCGGGAATTTTATGAACACACGAAGGTACACGAGAACTAAACCAGCTGACGCATCAAGCTAACCTTCTTCGAAAAAACGTTCATAGCGACAGCTTCTCTGCAAGATAGTAACCAACCCTGATTTAATGCCGAGATATATTGACAACAACGAAGGAAGCAAGCTCATCGTGAAGAAACAGACAAACAGACAACGAGTGAGGAAAGAAACGGACCATGACTGATCGCCCGCAGAAAGGGCCCGAGGAAAGGATTGAAGCAGCTGCATCAGATGCTCATCCTATCGTCATGCGCGTGAAGGCTCCACGGCAATACGAGAACGCGGACGAGGATCCTTCCTGAAGGGAGAAAGGTGCATTGGCTAAACAAATTATGGAACGACACAACCCTGATTCAACAAAGTGAAGTTCGGACGAAGTATTGCTTGTTAACCAAGTATGACGATGACTTTAGGATAGGATCGGTTGCTAATACGATCATATGCGAATCCGTAGGAGCAAAGCGCATCGAATTTGCTACGCACCAAGAGGTGAGTGGCCTCCACACCCTGGACAATACCGAACGACACTATGAACTAGATCAGCAACAAACGACCAGGTGATGAATCCGGGAAAAGTAAGTGGTGGGAGGGAAGATGATATCTAGGGCAACGTGTGTCTGTGAGTGGGTCAAGCAGGTGTAGGTCCTCGGGATTTTTCTACAACAATCTATGTCGTTCACGAAGTGCTTCGCGATCTCTTTTGAAATCGTGAACTGTGTTCGCAAAACATTTCGGGCTCCCGTTCAGCATTCGCGAAGTCTTTGTGGGTCGTGCCTCACATGACTGCACAATCCCCCTGAACAAACGTGAAGGCAACAGGATGGGACGACTCTCGAGTTCTCCGACTTCTGCAAGCAAGCCTCAAAGAACCGAGGTTCCCCGAGAGCTTTGGGGTGGGGGCGGGGAGATTGCGGAGCGCAAGCCTGGGGGAAGCAAACAGGGAGGAGTTGCAGGCGGGGGGGTTGCGCTGTGCGGAGCTTCCTAGGTTCGTTTCGCGGGACTTTTTGCCTTCTGACACACACGCGCGTAAAGATTTGTTGGGTGGATCGCACAGATAGAATTCGTTAGTGACGCGTCGGCGCTGTGGCATGGCGGAATTTGACCAATTAACAGAAAGACGACACCACGTGGCGGCCTGCGTAAGGCCCAAGGGTTCGTCGAAAGGCAAAAGTTATCAAGGGCCAAGGATCGCACGACAACAATCCGATCTAGCCACGTGGAAAGAAAATGCCCAAAAACATTTTTTTCCTTAGACCTGCCATCCCCGACCCTGCTCAATCACAGATTCACTACGATCAGATAGGTACCTTACAAATATCGTTATTTTTTTGTGAGTGTGTGTGTGTGAGTGAGTGTGTATATGACAAATCATGTATATGGAAAGCTTCACTACCAGTGCCTGCATCAATCAGCAGCAACTTCAGACACACAGAGCCCCACTTCTGACAGCAGAGCAACACATGCACACACAAGTGCCGGTAAAGGAATGCAAGTCTTTCATCAGAGACACCGCTAACTCAAATCACCAGCTGGCATCTCGCACCCCACTCCGTGACAGCAGAGCAGCAAGCAGCCGAGAGTGCTGGTCATTCGAGATACTTAAAGCCCTACGCAGGTCTGTGAGCAACACCTCCTTATCCCACGTTATCCCCTGCCCCCCTCCCTGCACCCACAGCGCATCCAACACACCCCCATACGCCGTCTCTGCTACAGCCTCCACTCCACTGCCCCCTCTCCCCTCCCCATGGGCCAAACCCAATGTATCCTCTCTATAGAGCGATCCTGTAGACAGCCTATACTGCTCATTCGCCTCAGCCAAACCAGAGATAGCATGATGGACCATCCTTGGTACGGCATGGGCATCTATCCCTGTGTGAGTGTGAGTGTCTTGAAAGAGAGGGCCCTCGCGGTGCACTGCAAGGCCCTCCATCCCTGTGTGAGTGTGAGTGTCTTGAAAGAGAGGGCCCTGGCGGTGCCAGGAGCCAAAGAAGCGTTGCCGCTTCACTCCGCCTATGTGCTGCTCGGAACACAACACCCGCGCTGATGTGGTAACACGGTTACCAGCATTCGCAGGAGTTACTGGGGCATGGGGTGCATGTGATGTTGCATGTGCTTGTGCGTGTGCTGCCGTATACGCCCCTGCGAGTCCTGTATGTGAGCTCACATGTGCTCTTGCACGTGCCTTGTCTGTAAGCCCTGCTGACCCGTGTCCGTGTCCATGTGCATGCCCATGTCCAGACACATTGGCTCGGCCTGCTGCGGTGGTGAGTGCGGATGGCGAGGTCACCGAGACATGATACCCCATCGCTGTTGCTGCTGCTGCTGGTCCCTGCCGCACTATGCTCACACACCCCTCCTCCCCCACCACCTCCACCACATCATCGTCACCATCACCATCATCAGCATATGCATCATCATCCTCATCCCCATCATAAGCATCATCACCATCATCAAGAACCTTCCTCCCTTCCACCTCCTCCAGCTTTATCTCATCTCCTGTCCTCGCCCCACTCCCTTTCACCTCCATTCCACCTTTTCCCCCACACCCTTCCCCCACCGCCTCCACTCCGTCATCCTCACTCCCCACCACCACCACCACTCCCTCACCTGCCAAGTTCTGCTCCCCCACCTCCTCTCCCACCTCCTCCACCTCCTCCACCTCCTCCTCCTCCTCCACCTCCTCCTCCCCATCATCCACGTCCTCACTGCTCCTCCCACCACCTAACCTTTCTCCTGCTCCTCGCCTGTCCTGAGGCGTTTCAGAAGCCGCCTTCGCCAGTTGCCCCTGCAACTGGTCCTGCACTTGGCCTCCCACTTGGCCTCCCACTTGGCCCTTCAGTTGGACCCGCTGCCCCCGCAGCTTTTCCCCAGCCACCATGGGGGTTGCAGGCATGGTTGCAGGGGTGGCAGGAGCACCAACAGCAGGGGCACCAATGGCATGTGTGCCAATAGCAGGAGTGGCTGGTGGTACTGTGGGAGTGGTGAGATGTGCAGCAGATGCTTTCAGCAGATCAGGTGTTTTCAGCAGATCAGGTGATTTCAATAGAGCAGGTGATTTCAACGTGGCATTGGGGGTGGAAGGCGGATTGCTGCTAGCTACATGTGCGGTGGCCTTCAAAACACCTTCTCTCCCTCCTCCTCCGTCTCTACCGTCTACTAATCGCCTCTGCTCTCCCCCTCTCTTTCCCTTGCACTGCCGCACAAGCCCCTCCCTCTTCCTCACCTTCCCACCAACTGCACTCTTACCATCCCCACTCCCGGATCTCACACCACCACCGCTCTCAACCTCCGTCTCATTCTCCTCCACCTCAAAAATCCCCTTGAGTGTGTGCAACTCTACCTTGCTGCCTGCCGGGTTCGTTCCCAGCCATCCCTGAACCGTCTTTCTCCGCTTGTAAACCACAAATGCAGGAGCAGTGGCAGCACTGACAGCAGCATCTGCAGCACTCAGATCCCATGGGTCATCCTGGGAGGGGTTACTCTGACAGGTGCCATCTGCTGACGAGCGCTCACGCCCACCCCCCTCGTCTGGTTTCAAGCCCCCACCTTGGCCCGGCCCCTCCTCTTCCACTCCTTGCCTAACCCCCTCCCCTTCCACTGAACCAAATGAGAGCGCATAGATGCCTGCTTTGCTGCCAAGAATTGTGGCTAGACCAGTAACCTTTTTCCCTTCTTCCTCACTGCCTTGGCACTTCTCCTCCTCACCCTTCTCATATCCACCCTCCCCTCCCTTCTCATCTACACCCTCCCCTCCCTTCTCATCTACACCCTCCCCTCCCTTCTCATCTACACCCTCCCCTCCCTTCTCATCTCCACCCTCCTCTCCACCCTTCTCGTTCATTCCAGTATTCGCCCCACCATCCCTCTTTTCACCATCCCCTCTGCCAACTCCTCCCTCACTTCCGTCACAATCAGCACCATCACCCACACTCACACCAATCAGTATTGCACCTCTTTCTGCTGTCTCCCCTGCTCGTTCTGCTGCTGAAATCCCTTCTCTGTCCTCTGCTGCTACTGCTTCTGAATCTGGTGCTGCTGCTTCTGCTGCTGCAGCCTCTGCTGGTGCTGCTGCTGCCACCTCGTCTACCTCCTCTGCCTCTCTGCCTGCTCCCGATCCTTCCCTCAGAACAACCTCAACCCCCACCTCAGCCTCGGCCCCTGATGTCTTGCGACGCGCCTCAAAAGCTGTCGCTTGTTCCCCCATTACGACCTCACCTTCCACTGCAGCAGCAGCCGCCATACCTGCAGCATCGGATGGATCAGTTACAGCTTCCGTTGAAGAATCACCAATACGTGCAGTTGCAGCATCCGGTAGAGCATGAGGACACGCTGACTCACAGGCACCACCCATCATTCCATTGGAACCAGCAGCAGCAGTCACAATGTCGCCAGCAGGAGCTGCAACAGAAGCAGCAGCGGCTGTAACAGTAACAGCTGTAGCAGCAGGTAAATGCTTGCCAGATATCCACTCGCCCTGCAGCCAGTCCATACTTGTGCGGAGGTCACGGGCCAGAAACACCTTCTGCTCCTCTGATCCCTGCAAGCACACTCGGAACGCCAGCACCTCAGCCTCAGTGCCGAGCCTAGAGCCAGGTGCGGCGCCGGGAGAGTCAGGTTCGGGCGTGGTTCGGCCGAGGATGGTGCCGATCCACCAGGCGTTGTTGTGCCAAGCCTCCACTGCATGGCCCTGGGAAGAAGGTGAGGGAGAGTGGGAAGGGAAGGACAGGGCGAAAATGGGGGAAAGGAGGGGAAGGTGAGAAAAGGGTAAGGGGGAAAAACAGCAAGAATAAGGAATGAATGTTTAGCTAGAAAGATGTCAGCGAGAATTCAAATTAGAACCATGCCTCCCCCCCTAAAAAAAAAAAAATCCCCTTCAAAATAACCCATCTACCTCGTCCCACGTGGCAGGGTCGTCTCCTTCCATGCCAGGTGGCACGGGGCGGATCTGATCCAAGCTGACGTGTTCACTCAGCCGGGTCACCCCATCGGCCTCCATCATCTCCTCGTACCGCACTGAACCCGTCTGCGCGCCTCTGTCTACCGCCAGCAGCACGGCAGTGAACCATCCCCCCTGAAGGCCCGCCCCATGGCGGGAAACCTCCACCCTCTCCCCCACGCGCCACCGCTTGGGGGAAAGGGCGGACATGCTGGGAGGGGGGGGGAGCGAAAGAGGGGAGGCGGAAATGGTGGAAGAGTGAGGCAAAGGGTGGGGAAAGAAAAGGGGGACATTGCTAAAGGGAAAGCCAAAAATATCCGCGTATTTTGTTTACAACAAATGTCATAAAAATGTAGCCACGTGCGAAGCTTTTTGGAAGCAAACGTGCTCTCCCCGCTTCCCCGACCCAGCAGCACCACTAACGCCGCATTGCGCGTCCCACCCAGACAAACTTCTAAAAGGGCTCACAAAAACCTCCGCACTTTTCCCCTTGCCTCTCCGCTATCCTGCGCTTTTCCCCCTTACCTCTCCGCTACCCTGCGCTTTTCCCCGTTACCTCTTCGCTACCCTGCGCTCTTCCCCATTACAAACATTGCATCGCGCGCCCCAGCCACCCAAATTTCCAGGTTAACAAGAAAAAACGCGCGTCAAACCCGCCCCGTACCCGCGCAACCATCAGCGATAGTTCTACGTGGTCAGGAAGCAATACTTGGGTGAAACAGATAAAAGCTAATTCTATAAAAAACACCTTGCAAAAATAACTCCGAAACCAATACCTGATCAGAGCCAGCGCCTCGAAGTGGGCGGCGGATTCTTCGAAAACGCCTAAGAACTGCCTATGGACTGTTCTGCCTATGAACCAAAACTCCGGATTCTACAATAGCCGATCCTGTAAGATCCACAGTATAAGAGGAATGACACCTCAAACTGACCAACACCATTGCCTGAAAGCTAAGCAGGGTATTCTCGGGAAACATCATATGAGTAACGCTCCTATGCCAGCCACCGCCGTCTCAACGGCCAGTTCAGCGACCATTAGCTGACTCTAACTTATACCCCGAAAATGAGTCAGTGAGTGGGACGGAGATAGACGGCTGAATCGTGGCTGCGGGCACCTGAGAAACTGTTCCTGAAAGCTTTCAGGGATCCAGAATCTAAAAGACTCTTTTCAACACTACACGTTATTCAATTCCTACACAGCAGTTTAGAGATAAACTTGTAAAGAACCTCTCTGTAAAAGAACCTCTACGGAAATAAACAGGCCCCGCAGCTCTGGTAGCAACATCTGCACAACTTCCTTCTCAACAGTGGCTTCATGCAGCTTGTCCACTATAAATCAATGTACCATCTCCACTCCGTAACAAGTACATTGCGTTGACGGTCGTCTCTATTATGGCACCATCGACGAGCGCCTTTGTGCAACATGCAACATTTTCGTTTTTGGCGAAAGCCAACATGAAATTAGTTCGATCTGCACACACGAAAAGTTTGAAACAGTGTTTTGCAAACCCACTCCGCAACACCCTTTTGTCAGAATATTATGCTGTAGCCTGTAGTGGGGTGCTCTATAGCGAGTACAACCCTTCTAGGGTTTGCTATTTGTATCCCCATTCTTGCTAGTGCAACAACTCCTTTGTTCATTTCTTGCTTGCCTAGCTAGGTCAACCCTAGCTATGGCTTCTCACTGTCCTTACTATCTTGACATGGTATCAGAGCGGTTACGCTCCTGTCCTGTGGGCCCACCACTTCACTGCTTCCGCTGCTACTGCTACTCCCTGTCCGCCGCACGCCTCGTGGTACACAGCGTTGAAATTAGGGTTTTCAGCCCGCCGTGCGCCCCGAGGCGCGCGGCGGTTTTCTGCCCGCCGTGCGCCCCGAGGCGCGCGGCGGTTCTCTGCCCGCCGTGCGCCCCGAGGCGCGCGGCGGGTTTCTGCCCCGTCACACCGCGCGTTGCTCCCGGGAGGCGCTGCGACGGGCGACGGGGACCCGCGCGTCGCCCCCCGTCGCCCGTCGTGGCCTGCGCGCGGCCCGTACAGCCGGCGCGCGGCCCGTACGGGCTGCGCCAGGCCCGCGCGCGGCCCGTACGGGCTGCGCCAGGCCCGCGCGCGGCTCGGACCGCCTGCGCGCGGTTCGGGAGGCTGTGCCAGACCCGTGGGCGGCCCGTTCTTCGCTGCCCCTGTCCTCCCCGCTGTCCCCCGTGCTTCTGAAGGCGCCCCACCCCTCCTTCTGCCCGTACTCCTGGATTAGGGTTTGGGGGTGGGGGGTATGGGGGTGCAGCTTCTGTGTGCCGTTCCCTGCTCCTCCTCCTCCTCCGTCTCCCTGTGCTGCAGCTGCCGCTGAGGGGGGGTGGACCTGTTGGAGCCGTCGGAGTGGTACTAAGGTGGGGGTGAAGGGGGAGTAAAGCTAGCGGTGTAGCAGCGGGTGTGTGTCAGGGGGAGTGGGATAGTTTGGGGAGGTTGAAGGGGGTGGCCGCCGTGAAGCCAGCAGCTCCAGTCGCCCGTGAGACCGTTGCGCCAGTCGCCCGTGAACTCGTTGCGCCAGTCGCCCGTGAGCCCGTTGCTCCAGTCGCCCGTGAGTCCGTTGCTCGTCTGCCGCTACTTTCAGCCGCGGAGCCAGTTACTCCAGTAGCCCGTGTGCCAGTTGCTCCAGTTGCCAGTGTGCCAGTTGCTCCAGTTGCCCGTGTGCCAGTTGCTCCAGTTGCGCCGTGTGCCAGCAGCTTCAGCTGCCGCCCACTACCTCCTCTCCTCTCATAGTCTCTTTCCTCCTCCTCACTTGCCCGTTGTGACTACCACTAGCTTTGCTCATAATTGTGATCTTTAAACTATTGCTTCTTGAACTTGTGCTCAGAATGTGTGGTGACATTGTGATCCACCCTGAGCTTGTACTGCTTTGTTTGCTCTGCTGATTACACCCCACTTTGGCTATGGGGGTGTGTCAGAATATTATGCTGTAGCCTGTAGTGGGGTGCTCTATAGCGAGTACAACCCTTCTAGGGTTTGCTATTTGTATCCCCATTCTTGCTAGTGCAACAACTCCTTTGTTCATTTCTTGCTTGCCTAGCTAGGTCAACCCTAGCTATGGCTTCTCACTGTCCTTACTATCTTGACACCTTTCAAGCTGGGACGGGGTTCACTATTCTATACTTCGGTTTTAATCAAATCCGGCAAAACTAAAAGTGTTAACATCACTACCCATACCAACACTCAAGTACGCCCAAAGCACGCCAAGAAAGACAAACTCACTTTCACCATCACTCTTTACGACACATATGTACACTCCGGAAACCAACATCATATCTACAAAGAACAACTCAGCTTCCGTACATCGCAAATCTGTTATTCATGTTCCCCATTCAATCACATCACATACCTAGGCTCACAATCAGCATCGTTCTTCGTTAGGATGTGAATATCAGCATCACATACACATCTCCCATATCCCATCTCCCACTTTCCATCTCCCATCTCCCAATTTACCGTATCACCCCGGATATAAGCGCATATGTGCTTATAGTAAATTCATTTTTTTGAGGGGGGGCGCTTGTAATTGAGAAACGGCCATAAGCGCCGGTGCTTATATAATGACGACAAATACAGTTTCATACTTTTAGGGTACCAAGTTCTACCTTTCATTGTTGCTACTTCAACCGAGTCGAAACAATATAGCGTCACAAAGCAGAATCGTTCGAAAGCGATTCTGCTTCCTGCACACGGGCGAATTCGCGCCATTCTGCAAGTATGCCAGCACATCCTGACTGGACGCGCAGCCAGTCAGGTCTTCGCGAGTCAAACAAAGCGACCATGATTTTGGACTCGCTGCAAAAATGAAATTCGCTACTGTTTTAAACAAAAAATTCAAGTAAAAACTGTACGTGCGCTTATAATAAGTATAGGATTTTTTGGGGGGGCGCTTATAATTGAGGAACGACCATAAGCGCCATGCTCCATATATAAGCGCCGGCGCCTTTAATCGGACGGCGCCTATATCCGGGGCCATACGGTACATCTCCCATCTCCCAGATTCCATCTCCCGTTTCCCATCTTTCCATCTCCCAACTTCCATCTTCCATATCCCACTTTCTATCTCCCATCTCCCAGTTTCCATGTCTCGTCTCCCACCTTTCCATCTCCCATCTCCAACCTACCATCTCTCCCACTTTCCATCTCTCATCTCTCATTTCCCATTTTCCATCTCCCATCTCCTACTTTCCATCTTCCATCTTCCATCTTCTTCTTTCCATCTCCCATCTTCCATCTCCCATATCCCATCTCCCATCCCCCATCTCCCATCCCCCATCTCCCATTGCCCATCTCCCATTACACACTTTCCATCTCCCATCTCCCACTTTTCACCTCCCATCTCCCACTTTTCATCTCCCATCTCCGACTATCCATCTCCCATTTCCTAATTTCCATCTACCATCTCCCATCTCCAACGTTTCATCTCTTATCTCGCATCTCCGATCTTGCATCTCTCATCTCTCACTTTCCATCCCTCATCTCCCACTTTCCATCTCCCATCTTTTTATTTCCATCTCTCATCTTCCATCTCCCTTTGTCACCGGGAGTTAAGTATTGGCCCCGTCCTCGCTTGGGCGGAGCCGACTTCGTGTTAGGGTATCAAGAGAGACAGTCGACTTGCAGCAGTGGGCGACGCCGACTTGGGCGAGCTGATCGACGGGTTTGGTCGGCCTGCACGGGGCCACTGCAATGCCGCCGACAATGGGGCTCGTTAACCTGGAAGTTGGCGCCGACTTGAGGGCGCCGACTTCGGGAGGTCGACCTGGGGAAGTGGCCGACATGGTGACGCCAACCTGGGGAGTGGCCGACTTGGTGAAGTCGGCTGGTGGTGGTCGACACCGACCTGGTGGTCGCCAACACCACCTGGGAGGGTTTCCAGGTTGACCAAGTAACCAGGGCGACGAAGTCTGTGGAGGAGTGCGACGGTCGCCCAGGTGGTTCTTGCGAAGCCGACCTCGGTGGTGGTATCCTGAGGTCGACGTGGCTGATCAGGTGCAGTTGCTAGCACGTGGACGACCTGGTGCTCTGCGCTGTGCGGGTGACGCGGCACAGCACGCCAATCATCTGCGTGCATCTGCGAAGCGGGTGCGCTGCTGTCCTGCGTGTGCAACGCTGTGCAGCCGCCTTGCTGCAGCGTTGGCACGCCGTCGACTTGCATCATTGGCAGGCCGCGACTTTGCACTGCTGGAGCGCGGTCGACCATGTCGTGCTGGAACGCGGTCGACCGTGCTGCGCTGGTAGTCGACATGCATGCTTGCTAGCTCTGATGCAGTCAACCTAGCCAATGTTGTTGCCATCAATCTGAACCTTTGTTGCCAACTTTTGCTAGTGAAACTCTAACCAATTCTCCTAGTGAATGTGTGCGTAGAGAGAACACAAGCAAACGACTAAGGAACGAACGCAGAGATCACTCCTACCCCGTGCCTACCCCGTAGACTAGCTCCCGTTGCTAGAGTTATCACCGCACTCTTCTCGCATCTCTCATCCCCCATCTCCCATCTCTCATCTCCCGTCTCCCACTTTACATCTCCCATCTCCCATCTCCCATCGCCCATCTCTTATCTCCCACTTTCCATCTCCCATATCCCATCTCCAATTTTTCATCTTTCACTTTCCACCCCCCATCTTCCATCTTCCTCTTCTATCTCCCATCTCCCATCTCCCACTTTCCATCTCCCATCTCCCATTTCCCAACTCCCATCTCCCATCTCCCATCTCCCGCTTTCTATCTCCCACTTTTCATCTCCCATCTCCTATTTCCCATCTCCCACTTTCAATCTCCCATCTCCCACTGTCAGAATGTTATTCTCTAGCCTGTAGTGGGGTGCTCTGTAGCGAGTACAACCCATCTAGGGTTTGCTATATGTATCCTCATTGCTGCTAGTGAAAACCCTCTTCTTTTGCCTAAACTGTCTCTTGCC